TAATACAGTACTGTGCACCCTTGTCATGAAAATTCAGCAGTGGCAGCTACATAGGATCTTTAATAAACACAAATCCCTCCATTTTTTACTGGGTATTAAGTCACACAGGTACTCACCTAGTTGTGTTTACAGGGGTTGAGCTTTGGCTCTTTAGTCTTTAGTCCTGCCTCTCAACTGTCAATTTATTGGTGTACAGATTCTGGAGCCTATTGGGCTTTATCAAATCTATATTTGAAATTGTGTATGGAGTATACCTCCACCACATCACTGACTAATGCATTCCATTTGTTAACTACTAAGACAGTTAGGTGTTATGTGACCGGTGTGACAGCTTGAGGTGGCCACCTAGTTGGCTGTCAGTGCAGGTGGCCAGGCAGGCCAACTAATACTTGCTGTAGGGAGAGCACTTCTTTGGCAATCACTTGTGATACCAAGAGAGGGTATGGAAAATCTTTCAGTTATTAGGTCTATTATGACCTAGCAGGGACTACTTGAACAGTTCCCTTTTGTGCTAGTGCCAGCTAGAATGGTGTTCTGCTCAATTATTAATGATGCTATCCTATATATACAACAGATACTTTAGGGAAGCAGCCAAATGTGATAACTCAGAAAAGGCAACCAAACACTAAGGATCATCAAATATACCTCTGAATGAATAAGCATTAAAAGTATTATTATTAAACTTGAAAACTTCCTTGTAGTTAGCATAAGAGATATAAAGTTTAAACTTGCCAAGCCACCATACAGGACAGACAACTGATTTCTCCCCTCTCAAAGCATTAATCCTGTGGGACATCATATCCACTGAAAGCATCTTAGCTAGGACACTGTAAAATCCACATGGAAAAGCTAATTAAAAACAATATTGGACCTTTCATAAGCATACTACAGTATAGAGGCTTCCTATCCCTCTAATTGCCATTATACATTGATCTCTGAGAAAGTATGAGAGAGACAAGATACAGTAATGGAAATAAAGTAGGGAAATAAGTAATTTCAATGGCATTCTGGAGATTGAGTGTGTGTATGATGGAGAATAGATGGAACTACAATAAGTCAGTTCACTTAGTTAAGCTGGTTATGCTTTAATTCAAATTCAGCAACTCGTGAGATGCATGAGCTGCATTTTTAATTGTTATGTATCTTCATTTGGAGTTAATGGAATGATCCTCTAAAGAATGCTGAATTGTTTTTTTTTTCAAAGTAGAGCTCAAAGGATGGGTAAGGGTGCATAATAAATGAACAAAATAAAAGTTAAAACTAAAATTGTACTGATATACTGTACCAAAATTTTGACATAACCTGATATTATAAAAACACCCATGTCAGTTACTTCATTTCTGATCTTTATTAATATTTTGTGTCATAAGTTAGAACTACACCCACCAGTGTAAAAAAAAAAAATGTAATAAAATACTGAACCCCTATTTGAGTGAGCCTTGATGGCTCCCTGTAATAACTTTGCAATAGTTTCCCATGCACAGTCACATCAGTCTTAGAAGTTTGTTGGCCTACCAGGGCTAAGACCCAGAACCTGGTCTGGCTCTTAAGTCCAAGAACAATCCCTACATGGAGTAGGAGATTGTTACAATCACCCTCATCAGGAAAGCATCTAGAAAGACAGGGAAGACGATACGTAGCATGGTTCATGAAAGTGAAGCACAGAAACAGCCAACACCCTGTTCTGGAACCACAAGGGAGTAGGAGTGAGCCAAAAATGACTTGAGAGGACCAGGAATGTAGGTCTAGAAAAAAGGGCCTGGCAATCCTGGCCAATCCTAAGTGAAAATGGCTAAGTAATGGATGGTGATGCAGAACTTGGGAAAAAGATGGAATACCCAGCCGGGCCGCCAAAACCCTGCAGCTTGACTGGAAAGAACCAGAACCCCTGAATGAAGAGGCACACCTGACCACCCTGAGACCAACCAAAGCACAGAGCATGTGCAAAGAGTGGGGAGAAAACTGAAACTCCTGCAGGGAAAGAGAAGGGAAAGGGGGAAATGCACAAAAAAAAAAAAAAAAAAAAAAAAAAAGGATACTGCCCAGCCCCCCACTGGAAAATCCCTGAAAGGAAGACTTGGAAGGCCAAAAGGCACTGATGACCCCCCATTACATTTCCCAAAGAGGCAAACTGTAAACAGGGTCACAGGTAAAAAAAAAAAAAAAAAAAAACTCCAGGAAGGTGGCCCCAGAATGAAGAATAAATCGGATGGCTACTATAGTACACTAGACTCATTCGCTCTTCATCTCTTCTTTATATGGGGAGAACCAACTCTGGTCTACAGATTGAGTGACTTGAAAAAGAGGCAGGAACAGGCTCCCATGCCTCCAAAGAGGGCAATAGCGAAAGAAGAGGAACTGTCCAGAGCGGAATGCTGCTATGATCTACTCAACATAAGGAAATACCCAATTTGGCAAGTTAAGACTTCATGCCTACCTTGACCTAATTCTTGAACAAGGTGGAAAGGGAGGAGAATGAGAATACAAATAAACAAATGCACAGCATCAGATACAACTTGATAAGGAAAAAAGGCCAAGACCCTAAACCAAAAACTCCACCGGAGGCCTATCCTGACCACACAAGCAAAGCTCCTTGTCCCAGGGAAAGGAAGGGGGCTAATTCTGCTACTGCAAGGCTGAAGCTGACCCAAACCCAAAAGAGGGCAGGCACAAAAAGCAGCGAAGGCCAGGAACTGCAAAACCAACCTAGCCGAACGGAAGGAAGAAAGCAGGATCCACCAGAATATAATGCAATTGGAATTCAGAAATGAACCAGGGGAGGAGTTGCCAAGGAACCTCACTCAAAATGGAGGGGGGGGAAAAAAAACAGAATAAAACCCACCACAGAGGATAGCAGAGCCCAGGAAGACTGAAGAACACCCAAGGTCCACCTCGAGCTTCCCTCCTATTCCTAGCCCCAGAAGCCCAGATGCCAAGAGAGAAGGGAAAGGTGCCACCATAATTAAAGGGATCCAAGCAAAAAATCATCCCAGAAACGGAAGGCAATGGATCCCTAGTAGGAAGCAATGGCTCAACTGCCTCTGATGCCGACGTGGCGATTCTTGGAGAAGGGTGAACTGCACCCGATATGAAATGCAGCCCAGGCTCCAAAAGCTAGAAACATCAGTGGGTCTAGAATCTAAGTTAAGCTAGGGTAGCTCAACAAGGGAAAGGTTAGAATTTAGACCCAAGCACGTGGGGGTGGGGCATAAAAGGGGGTCTGGCAAAAGCAACATGAACAAAAAATAAAAAAAGAGCAAGGAATTGAATACTTGTCACTCTAAAACCTAAACCCCCCAAAACAAGGACCAATTCTGAACCACCATTCAGATTTCATGCCACAAAACCAAATAGGCAAATGAACACATGGAAGTGGCAGCATGCCACCTGCTCAGTCTCATCACTATAAAAACAAAGAAAATTAAAAGACGGGTTGAAGTTAAAATGGGGAAATAGCAAACGGTAGCATTCTGTGTCAAAGGGCAGAGGGTAATACCCAATCAACAGGCGATATTCGGAGGCGAAAAGAGGACTGAAGAAATGTAGCAATCCCGCCAAACACACACCGAAACTACGACGTTGGTACAACGTTCGAACAAGTTTTATCACCAGTAATAACAACCAATATAGCAAGTTGTAACAACGTTCTAATACGTCATAAACACGTTAAGCCAAGATGTAACAACTTTATTACAAGTTGTAACAAGCGAAAAATAGAGACAGTTTCGGTTTGTGTTTCTAGGGATGCCCCTACATGTAAACAAATAGGATGCCCCACCGAAGGGTCTCATAGAGGAGTTATTACTTGTACACTACCCAGAGTGAGGCTATCCACCCCAGTTGCTAGCCGGGGTGGAGAGTGACTCCCTTAGGGAAGGATCACACTAAACTTTTGCAACCTGATGGGGGCAAAAAAAACTGACCACATAATATGTGGGGCTTGGAGCCGGTCGGCCGAGCGGACAGCACGCTGGACTTGTGATCCTGTGGTCCTGGGTTCGATCCCAGGCGCCGGCGAGAAACAATGGGCCGAGTTTCTTTCACCCTATGCCCCTGTTACCTAGCAGTTAAATAGGTACCTGGGTGTTAGTCAGCTGTCACGAGCTGCTTCCTGGGGGTGGAGGCCTGGTCGAGGACCGGGCCGCGGGGACACTAAAAACCCCCGAAATCATCTCAAGATAACTCAAGATAACACACACTTCTGAGAAAAAACAAAAAGTTAGTAACAATACACAGGGAAATTACCCACACAGGACATTATCCAAAAGGATGGCTGTCACTTATCTTAAAAAAAAAAGAAAAGGGGTGTACTAAAACTCAGAGTGATAGGGAAGAGTGACCTGAATACTCTATTTTAAAGACAGTGTATATGTGAAAATTAGTGAGGAGTTTTTTTCTGGTTATTTAGCAGCGTATGTTTTTAAGACATATAACTCCAACTTGTAACTTTCCTTTTGTAATGTCATGGATGATCCTCACTAATACCTCCAAAATTTGTGTGAAAAGGTTATAAAATCATTGAATGGGAACTGCTGGTGTATCTAGTAATTGGCTAAAATAACCAGTTAATTACTTTGACATTTGGGACAAGATAACAACACCTCGCATCATACTATATTGATTTGTACTTTTTTATCAGTGCCTATCAGGATATGAAATGTTAGTTACTTATTATTTTTCAGTGCCTTTAAAGATGATGGTTTGGTAATCAAAATAAAATAGACCATCTACTGAAAATTTTCAAGTAAAAATTTACAGTTTATTGATGTCCTACTTACAATAAGTTGTAGCAGTGGTACAAATAATTCTAAGTGTTTACCCTATTATAGGAAGATTGAACATTAAACCTATTATATTTGCCACAGTCAAAGATATTCAAATGATGCTTTGTAGTAGTTGTAAAATATATCATTTTATAAAAGTCAGTCTGCTTAAGATATTAGAAAGAATTTGATCATTAAATACTTGTAAAATTATAACTTACATTAATAACATTGCAGTTTTTGACAGGGGTCTTTGTACAGTGAACTGAATGCTACACCATATTTAAAGAGTTATCCATCTATAAGAAACAATGAGGGTGGTGATACAACGAGTGTGTCAGGCATCAGTCACAGGTGAGATATTAAGTTGGAGAAATGGAATATGGCAAGTTGATAAGAGTAGATAACATATATTACCTATAATACATTTGTTACCCAATATTGACAAAATTGGCAATTTGTTATATAAGTCAGCTATAATACATTTGTTACCCAATATTGATAAAATTGGCAATTTGTTATATAAGTCAGCTTTATGCTTAAAAACTAATAATGAGGATGTAAATATTAAATGTTGAACTCGGTGGAATATTTTCTGATTAGCAAAATGTGGGTAAATGACTTACAGTATGTAAATTACAGTATTTCTAAGGTTTCTTATTTTTGGACCATAACCAGTATGGTGTAAAACTCAGGTTAATTTTGTGAGGAGGGAAATGGAAAATCGTTTATAATTTAATGCAATAATAAAAACCAACAGAACCTCCTCACTTGCTTATTTCCAGTAGTGTACATGTATGATAGTAAAAATTATGAATGCAGAACAAATGTAAATTATAAAGATACACCTCAAACACAAGAGGACACACTTATTGACCAATACAATTATTTTTAATTGGCAGGACTTAAACAAACCAACAATTCAACAATATGCATGCATTGCATTTATTAAGAGACTTGGGGGAATGGGACAGAATGCAACTCGAAATAATTTTTCACTCACCAGATCGACTACTGTACCCAGTCACACTGAGAGAACCTGAGGTAAATAACCTCACAGCAGTGAGGTGGGCACCTCTCGAGTGCACCCGACATACCCTGAGAAGGTGAAGTCTGGATTTTCTCTGTTCTCGTGGGGTGTAGGGACGCTACCCTCACGAAAATGTACAGGAAAAACTTTACACACACAAGAGGTGTAAAAAAATACACAATACGACATACTTGCAACCACTGACAAATGAAACATAAAAATTAAAACAAATAAAACAAATATATTTTAACTAAGAGAAACCATTTAAATTAATAACAAGAAAAGCTACACTTTATATACCAGTTATTACAATTTAAACGTACATTGAATTTTCTGAAAAAAATTCTGAGTACATGACAGCTTTCAGAACTATTTCTTCAGGGATTGTTTATTACATTCTAATGACATCCTTAGCAGATAATTATATAAGAATTATTTGTGTTTTTAAGTAAGAAAGTGTGTATGTACAATACTTGTAAAATGTGAAATTTGTCCAAAGTTGAGATTAGAGTAATTCAAGGAAGGAAAATGGCGGGTGCCATGAAAATTCTAATTAACAAGAAAATATAGGAAGAGAGATGGCTAGAAGGTCATCTTATGTATGGATGAGATATTGGTGTGGCATTAACATGAAAAATCGAGTTACAACTGTTAAAAATGAGTCTTTAATGCATGTGTGGTGTTAGGTTTTTTGTTTTTTAATATCTCGTGCTAAGCACATTGTAACTGGCGGCATTAATTGGTTCGGTACTGCTCGGTAATCTGAATTCCTGAAACCTGAATGAATTCACATTCTTCATTTTCAAGTAAATGGCAGGAGTAACCGGGTAATGTTGAAAGTAACCAGGTTGTGGTGCAAAACAAATTGCAACTTTGTTCATTTTTAGGCATTCTTGGTAAAAAATTGAGCTACCTAGAATGTAGTGAGCCCCATATGCAGTGCCTGTGCTGCAGGGTAACACACTAACCTCGCACTTTGTAAGCAATTTAGCTTGGGTTCATATTCTGACCAGGGAGGATTGACAAGGTGCTAATCCTTAACTGTATGCATCTATACACCCAGCAGTGAATGGGTACCTAGTTATTAAATGATTTGGCAAGTCGTATTCCAGGGAAAATTAAGATCAAGGACCTGCCTGAAATGCTGTGTGTGCTAGTGGGTTTACAAGAATGGAAGAACTCTTGTATATAAAAATAAAATTAAAAAGAAAAATGATTTGGATTACCAAGCTTGGTTAATAGCGTGGAAAATGTGGTGAATAGATGGAGGATTTTTTTTTTGTATGTTTAATTTTCTTTTTCCTGTTTGCTGTTCTATATCTCCCTAGCTTGTTTTGACCCACAGTGAGGGCAGTAATCAGAGGCAATGTATTGGTCTGAAGAAATGTCACAAGTGGACAACTACAGGGTTCAGTTCTTGCACCGGTAATGTTCATTGTCTACATAAACGATCTACCAGATGGAATACAGAATTATATGAACATGTTTGCTGATGATGCAAAGAAAATAGGATAGATAAGAAACTTAGATGATTGTCATGCCCTTCAAGAAGACTCGGACAAAATATGGATCATCACTTGGCAAATGAGATTTAAGGTAAATAAATGCCATGTTATGGAATATGGAATAGGAGAACATAAACCTTACACAACCTATAAATTATGTGAGAAATCTTTAAAGAATTCTGATAAAGAAAGATTTAGAGGTGGTTCTAGATAGAAAACTATCACATTAGTATCACATAAAGAACATTGTGTGAGGAGCCTATGCTACACTTTCTAACTTCAGAATTGCTTTTAAATACATGGATGGCAAAATACTCAAGAAATTGTTCACTGCTTTTGTTTGACCAAAGCTGGAATATGCAGTTGTATGGTGCTCATATCTTAAGGAGGACATCAACAGACTGGAAAGGGTGCAAAGACATGCCACTAAGTGGCTTCCAGAACTGAAGGACAAGAGCTATGAGGAGAGGTTAGAGGCATTAAATATGCCAAAACTAGAAGATAGAAGAAAAAGAGGCATTATAATAACCATGTACAAAATAGTAACAGGAATCGATAAAATTGATAGGGAAGAATTCCCGAGACCTGGAACTTCAAGAACAAGAGGTCATAGATTTAAACTAACTAAACAAAGCTGCCGAAGAAATGTAAGAACATTCACTTTCGCAAACAGAGTGGTAGATGGTTGGAACAAGTTTGGTGAGAAGGTGGTGGAGGCCAAAACCGTCGGTAATTTCAAAGCGTTATATGACAAAGTGTGCTGGGTAGACGGGACACCACGAGCGTAGCTCTCATCCTGTAACTGCACTTACGTAATTACTTAAAATCCACTTGCTTCACCTTTGTAATAACTATACCAATTTGTGGAAATATATATCATGTGGTTAGGAACAAACTAACTGTATATCCTTGTGTAAAAGTCAAATTTTTTAAATTAAGGGATCAACTACTGTATTACACAAGAGCTATTTTCGAAGGGATGAAATTTATGCTTAGTACAAGTTAAAAAAGAAATATGAAAAGTTGCCTGATTTTCATATAACATAAAATATACCACATAAATTAACACCAAAATTTACATGTAACCTGCCAATGTTCAAAGACCTTCAGTAGCCTGCCCTAGAGAATGCACGTTTATCCTAGCATGCTTCATCAAATTAGCACTCTTACTGTATGCAGAGTACTGTACAGCTTAGTTCTGTAGTTTATCAGTAAATACCAGCACTTCAAATTCAGTTTTCTTATACTGTACTGGTAAAGAACTTTTGAGATAACTAGCTAGTAGTCCTGGTAGTATCTAGGCAAAATTGAGTTTATGACAATAGCATCGGCATATAGTGAACAAATGCAGCTCAGTCTGACCAACACTGTCTACTGTATCTGTATAGCAACAAACAATTCATGAAATAATACAAAGTAGTAAAAACAAAAATATCAACTGACAATATTTGATTAAACATGATCACATGACTGTTAATAATATACGGTAAACACTTTACATTACAAAATTGGTATTCAGAAAACAGTTGGTTGAAAAGCTGGCTAGATGATTGATTTTTCCTACTGCCTGGCAACTGGCTGGCTGACTGACTGACTGTTTACCAAAAAAGGTTGCTGGGACGCTGGTTCAGAGGAATTCTGGACAGGGCATGGACTGTTCTGCAATGCTTGTCCTGAAGACAATAAGCTTATCTTATATCACTCCCAAGAATAACATTAGGTGTTTTATTGATGAGAATTCTAGAAATAAACACCAGTATCCTATTTGCCTTACTTTGAACATTTCAACAGCGCTTTCTTTTAAACACGTTTCATCACGTGTAAACAGATGGCCACATGAAATATGTGTTTATTGTCTTTGGAAGTAAGGGAATATAGGGATTGTAGGCTTGCAGCATGTCCTGTGCTTACATTTTAATAATTGTGACAGATGTGAAGTGCTTGCTATTATATGGTGTTTTACTATGAGCACCAAGCATCACGGGTATAGGATAGACTATATATAGTAAGGTAGGTACATGTTTAAGCATAAATCTCCAGACCTACTGTTTTACTATTAGATATACACTAATATAAATTTGTCTTAAAATTCATTATGATTTTTAAGTGATATGTCTTTGTACAGGAACATACTTTGTGCCTTGCCCCATAAATGTTGATCTGTTATGTGTGCAATCCTGGAGGTTGACTTACACGATGTATATAGAAAATTCCACAATATTTGCCAAAAATAGGCAGACAACTCACATGTGATCTGCTGTTACACAAGGATATATGGTAACACTTGCGTTCTAATGATGCTGAAACACGTCATCCAATTGCTATTAATAAACATTCGTATATTAATTTGTCATGCATAATTGTTATAAATACCCTTTTGCTTTTATATTTATTCTCCAGAGAATTAATTTTTTTTACATTTTGATACAAGATTTATAGTTATAATGTAAAAAATGTAAAATGCTTATAAATATCTTAAACACTGCTGAGCAGCCTGGTGAGCCCAAAATGTTTACGGTTGGGGACAAGCAGAGAGGCCGGACTGCCAAAGAGTTAAATTAGTAAGGGGTGCACTAATTTAAGCATTGTACTGTGTATATGACTTAAGTCATAATATACAGTAATCCTTAGCCTGCATAGTGTAGCTCTAGGCCCAGTAATGTTATTTATCAAAGACAGGTGTTTGTATTTCATTTTAACTATAAGTATGATTAATATCAACAGTGGGAGAGGAAGTGATCAGCTCCATTGGTCGAGGCCTGTGTGTTCTAGTTGGCATTCACAAGAATGATACTCAGGCTGATATAGATTTCATGTAAGTAATTTTTCTTATAGATACAGTAATTTTTTTCAATATCTTTGAGTGTGCTGGTTCAGAGAATGTGTGTGTGTTATGCTCTAAACGGGGCTTAGTCATATTTTGTATGTGTTGCAATTTGGTTGGAGGGGGGCACTCAGTGGCTCCCTGTAGAGTAAGACAAACAGCAAGGTAAAATCGAATAAAACCCAAAATGAGACAGTAGTTAAGTAGTTCACCCACTAGTTCCACCCCCTCCCCCCATTAGCAGGTGGCAGCACAGGCAATGACTAATTTGGCTAGTGCAGCAACTTATTTAACTTATTTACTTGATGCTATAAGGTTTACAGGTCTCCAACTGCTGCCCTTTCCCTTTGAGTCCCAGATTTTTTCCAGATATAATTAATAATAATTTATTGTGTCAGGGGACAGGAAGCCAGAGTGTATTCATACACATTAAACTTATATTGTGGTCCCCATCCAGTCAAATTACTGCCCAGGATGCAACCCCAGAACAAGCTAACTCCTGAGTACCTACTTACTGTTAGGTGAACAGATGGATTAGGTGAAAGGAAGTGTGCCTAACCATTTCTGTCTCACCCGGGATTCTCGATTGAGCATCGAGAACGAACCCAACTGTACTACCGGGACCCTTGTTGATATGTTCAGGCCATCCGCTGGATTTTGTAGTGCAGGGCCCATTTACTTGTGTATTATTCCTTATTTTGGTATTTGCTTATGTGCAAGTTTTTCTATGCCTCCCTTGTTGTGTAGACTTTGAGAAACTGTTTGCCTCAAGATGCATGTGTTTAGTGTTGCTTCCCTTGGTGCTTTCTGGTGTTGCACCTGCCCTGACAGGGTTACCTTTCCTAGTGCATTTGGGTGTCTCCCCGAGAAATCAGTCTCTTGTGGAGGGTGTCTTGACGTAGGTAGTGCATGGGTATGTAACTCCTCTGTTAGGGTTGGGGGTGGTGAGTTTTCTCCATTTATGGGGATCACAGGAAATCGTGTGCCTTTTTATATGGCATGGTGCTGACATCTTTCACAGCCAGAATTGTCCCTTAGGCTGCATTAGGTGTAAGTTCTTGGTTATCAGTTCCTGTGCCTGGTGTCCTTTTTTGAGGAGAGCCCCATGTGGCTCCCTGAAGCTATCTCACTGAGAGGGCCCTCAACTACTAATTCCACCAGCTGTAGAGTTCAGCTCGGCCTACCAAGTACCAGAACCTGGCACCTTCACAGAGGTGCAAAAGGCAGGTGACACCCCACTACCTCACCAGGGAAGGCACCCAGAAAGTTAGTGAATGAATACTGACCACTGTTGAATTCAAATGAAACTGAAAGCCTTACAACCTGCAGACTGAAGTCCCAAAAAATGTAAACAAACTATAAAAAATCTCTTGAAACGAGCGTGCTCTCGTTTGCGGAGGGAGGGGAAGTCACAGCTCATACTGTCCATTGGCTCAAATAGTCAAAAAGTTCTGCTGATGCAGATTGTGATGCACATTTGCAGTAGGGTTCCTAAGTTGCCAGTAAGCCATGGCTGGCCCCAGTGCTTTTCAGCTAAGTGCCTCTTTGGACTTCATCGTATGTGGTTTGGTTTTGTACATTGTCGGTGTTGTATGGACCTGGCCTGTTTAGAGCTGCATGTGCCCAAGATTACCTTCCCTGAGTGCTCTCTTATCACCACCTCTGCACTGACAGAATTCTCTTCCTTGGTGTGTTGAGGAGTTGGCTCTCTTTGAGGTCCTTCCTTCTTGGAATGACCCTGGGTAACGTCATGGATAAGTCAGTGGTCTTGTTATCTTTGTGTTGACCCAAGTCAGGAACGAGTGTTGGCTGTTAGGATGCACTAGGGGCTTGCTTTCTTATACTTATGGAGGCTTTGTATGTAGTGATCATATCACCTCTTTTTTTTTTTTTCTTGTATCTTTTGGTATTGGTATATTTAACGCCTTTAACCTCTCCCCATAGTGCATGCTTTTCAGTTCTAGGAGCCATTTAGTTGCATGTTTTTTGCACCTTTTCCAGTTTATTGATGTGCTTCTTGAGATATAGGCACCATACAAGTGCTGCATATTCCATCTTTGATCTCTCAAAAGTCGTGAACAATTTCTGATATTTCTCAATCCATGTACCATGCACTGTACTGTACATGTCTTATTTCTTCAGTTTCCTCAGTACAAGTTTCTTATCTCCTCTAGTAGCTTGGCATCATAAGCAAAGTATTCATATAATACTCATATAATTCTGTATTACTTCTGGTAAATCATTTATATAGACAGTGAACATTACTGGTGCTAAAGCTGATCCCTTTGCTACTCCATTAGTAACATTTCTCCAGTCTGAAACATTGCCTCTGATTACTGCTCTTATTTTTCTGTTAGAAAATTTTTCATCTATGTCAGAAGTCTCTGCACTCGTGTAACCATAGTATTGCATAGTATAGACTTTGCATTTTATTAAGCTTACCACCATTTTTGTAATAGGTTACTTTTATAAAATTGTTCAACTTTCCTAAAGGTTAAATATGCTGTATGACATATTAGTCCATCATCAGTGCAAAACAGGAAAAATGGTGCAGTATTGTAAGGTATGTTTATAATAGGATAGTATATATTTATGTTGCACTAAAGAATCTCTCATGTCGGCAGAGTTAGGAAGATTCTCAATACCAGACTCTTTGAAGATGGAAGTGGGAAGCGGTGGCAGTTGAGCGTCAAAGATGCTGGTCTGGAGGTCCTAACCATTTCCCAGGTAAGTCTTCATATAAAATAATAATAGTTGAATAAGAACACATGGTACTGATAGCACTGCAGAGAAAACCACTCAAAGAGTAGACAATATTTGTAGATAATATTTTGTCTATACAGTAATGGCTTTCTGAAATCTAATACTGTACACAAAAAGGTAAGCTAATACTGTACTTGTAAACTGAACAAAATTAGATTGGGTTGGAGTGTCCTGTAATTTCCCTAGCACTGTAACAGTAAGGTCATTGTTACCAAATATTGTTTTATCATCAGTTTCCAAGGATGTAGTGCTCTCCTTTCTCTTGGTGTATTCTTGACAATCTCATGCTAAAATACTGTTGCCTCATATTGTGCGGCACTGAAGGAGCTGCTGCAGCCTGCATTTTGGTGTCCATATTATCTCGGTACCATTTTACAGGCTGTCTCGCACCTTTTTTACCTCCAGCCTGCTCCTGAGCCTTTATGGTCCTTGGACCATGTTCTTGCCTTTCCTCTTCTCAGCTTATGGTTTTCCCTTCAGTCCATGATTCTCAAAGGCTTTGTCTTTTTTCTTTTGCTTCCAGTTCATATATTTATGAACTCCTAGCCCTGCCGTTCTCTGAAAGGGAGGTTTCTCTGCTTCTGCCAAGTTAGGGTTCTTCGTGCTCTCTTTCGGAAGTGCAGTTTCTGTTCTTTTGGTTATGTTGGGCATTTTATACATTTGCAGTTGATTGGTTTCTGGGGTCCTTTGGTTATTGAGTCTTGGTTGGTTCAGCCAAGGGTGCATCATGTGCTGTGTCTGGTGGTGGCTCTTCACCACTACCTTTGTCACCATTTCTGCTTCAGTGGATGCTTTGTGGGCTGATAATGTTTTCTTGTTTCCTTATTACAAAGTGCCGTATTTCTCTAGTCATCCAGTGTTATTGAATCTAGCCAGCCTGCTTTCTACCCTTATGCCAATGATCTTAGGAAGTACAGTATGCCACTCTTTTGGCTGTACTCACCTGTGTTTGATAATATGTCCTGGGGAGGATATTCAGGCATGGGGGACTTTGGAGGACTACTTGGATTCTGGCAGCCTGGTATTTGGTGAATGTTCCCAGACCTTGAAACCCTTGTGCAGCCTTGGGTCATGTCTCTCCATCAGGGTTTTTTTTTTGTCCCGACTCCAGCAGTGCTCCCTTCTCCCTGTTAAGCTCCCATGTGTTCTTCATAGTTACTTAGCTTCAGGGAGCCACAAGGGACTCCACCCAGAAAATGCCATGAATTGAAAATTTTGGGTGAGCCCTGTTGGGTCCCTGATGTTCCTCTCCCTTCCAGATCATCAGGTAGGCATTTACATCTGCTCCAGAACTTGACAGCTAAGACCCCAGCAGGTGGTGATCCACTTTCCCCAAACGAGCGGGGGGTGTAGAGTGTAAGGTACGAGATTGAAAGCTGTACCCTAAAGTATCGCTAACAACACCCACTCTTACTTATAAATAATAACAGTGCAGGGGTCTATATAGTAATAGTCACCAGTTCTAACTACATGGGACAAGAAGTACACCTTGGGGTACAATTTTACAAAAGGATTTTATTTAACAAATACCAGATTACCTCACACTTCTTAGAATGGGGTGGGGGGGGGGGTTTACTTGGATCCACCACAGGATTGATACAGACAAAAAAAAAGGGGGGGGGGAGGGTCCTTCTCCCTCTACAACCTGGGACTTAAGGTCATTACTCTATTCCACTCCTCTTAGGTCACTACAAAGGGCCGGAGTTTACAAATTAATATACAAAATAAATGTGGATAATCTCCCCATGTGACACACAGCTGAGCACATACACCTGAATTAACAACACACCACTCTCCCTACACACACGGTTCCAAAAATTCTTATTTCCACAAATTCCTATGTCAAAGAAAAGGGGAAGCACCACTATAAACATCTATAATACTGCACTTATCGTGTTTGTTGGAGACCGTCCACGACACAGGTCTGTTGTCACTGCCTCTCTCTCCCAAGTGACTGACAGGGGCTTGCACATGTCCCTGTCTGCCTGGTTCCAATAATGTCCCCTCTCTATACATGTCATACACATTTCTCAATACTTCATATATATGTCTTATAATGTTCCAGGCTGTTTTTCTACATTTAACACTGTTGTTTCTCTATATTTCCTTGCATTGAATCTGCTTTTTCTTAACCATTTTGTTTAAATTGGGTTTTCTTTTTAGGAGATTACATTTTCCTGTTGAGATGATGCTCTGTGCATCTGAAAGGGGTCAGAGTTCCAGACTTTTTTTTTTTTTTCAACATTTAGCACTGCTATTTCTCCCTACACAAGGGTCTCTCTCTCTTACAAGAGCAAATGAGCTCACACTCGTTTTTAGAGAATTCTATTGTTTACATTTTGACCTGCTGACCTTACGGTTGATTTTCTGGTGAGATGGCAAAATGTCATTGCTCTTTGCACCTCTGTGAGGGGGCAAGGTTCTGGCCCTGGACCTAGATTCAGGAAGCTCTGTGTATTTCTTCGTAAGTGGGTTTGCTACGAAGGTTCCTAAGTGCGCCCTAAGAAGATGCTTAGGTGCTATTCAATAAGGTATACTTAGGAAGAAAAATTGTTGGTTCACCTGCGTGCCGATAGAGGTCACTACTGTGTTTCGTTTGGCCAATCAGAGAGCAGCAACATTCTTCATATTGAAGATTTAGCGCTGGCTTATCGCAGCTCTACTGCCTCCTATTTACGTCGAATTTTCTTATAAAATTAGTATATTTCGAAGTAAAACAATGTTTTTTCAACTTCTACAGCCAGCACCGACATTGTAGTAAACAAATATGTTACATTTGTTGTTTACCTACGTAATTCTAAGAGATACTGTGTAGCTGTCCTTGTTGCTCGGAAGATGCGCTGACAATTATTGTATATATTTACTGAATTTACCCAAGGGCCACTAACTATCTAGTGACCTCGAAGAGGACAGAAAGCCGGCGGCTTGTTGAAGGGCCCGCCAATTGTCTTAATTATATTTTTTAGCTGGAATTTGGCATTTACGGCTTCAGCGGGTAGGCGGTTCCATGGGTTTATAGCCCTCTTGGTGGAAAAAACATCTGTTTTCAGTCCTACTTGAGAGAACATACTCTCCAACACTATATCTGGGATTGTCCTGTTATCAGTGACTTCATACCAAATGGTATGAGGTATTTTGAGCTCTGTAATTACTTCATACACTCAGGAATATTGGAAGATATTCTTGTGCTGCACCCAGATTTTGCCAGTGGAGGCTAATAGATCAGCATTAAGTATTTTGTTCTCTCCTAATTCCATGTATGACTGGCCATCCTGTGAGGTGAGCTTGTAGCTGGTTTTTGATCTACACTGTGTGGTCCTTTAGACAGAATAGGGAAGCAGCACATTGCTGTGTATACCTAAACATGTTTAAAAATACATTGTTTGAGAGGAGTTTTGTAGAAACTGGTAAGAGTAATTATAATATAATGTTTCCATGATTCAGTGCTTACCTCTTGTGAAAATTGCTTAGAGTTGTTTAGTCAGAGTTGATTTGTTTTTTGTATTGAGGCTGGTATTTTCTAAATTGATTCCATGTACAGTATGTCTAACCATCCTGTGAGATGGGAGTATTAGATAAACTTATAGCTAGTTTTTTATCTACACTGTGTAATATTCCATATAGAATAGGGTAGCAGCACATTGCTGTGTATAACTAATCTTCTTAATAAAAAAAATCAGTAATAAAAATTTTAAATTATAGTTTGTATTATTACAAATACAGTACTGTATTATCCTTATTAAATCATGTTGACCATGGATCATTAAGATCTCATGTTGATATGTAATACAAGTCATATTTCTTTTGAACTGCTAATCCATGCTAATCATTCATTAAATTGTGTATTATGTCTCAATTTTTCACTTCCTTGGATATACTGTACAGTACAAAAAGATAGGATAAAAATAAACCAGTAATATTTCTTTCATTATATTTTTCATTTAAATAACTGCATCAATATTTTTACAGCTGACAGGATTTGTTTTACCATACAGGTGCATTATTTGTTAAAAAAAATTTGGTTTATTGTTACACACAATGGTGCTACATAGCCTTCCCAGCTTGGTGCCTTCTTTTAATACTTACTGATTAAAAAATAAATAATAAATACATTTTATTCAGGAAAAGTACATACAGTTGATTTACAAACATAATGTTGGATTTATAGACAGAGCTAGTACATACAATACCTAAAGCCACTAATACTCATAGCATTTCGGGCAAGGTGTGGGGGAAAAAACACAGACTAAAACTTAGTAATCGGGATTAGGTATAAATTGTGTTGAAAGAAGGAATAAAAAATACAAAAAGGGGGGTTAGCATAGCATAACTCAGCAATTGCACATGTTGGTGAACAGCGTTGTTTAAAAAATAGCAAGACATGGGTTGACATTTAGGAGGTAAGTTAGGTTACATGGAGTTAATTAGGCAGTACTTGGTTTAACTCTTAAACTGGTTGAGAGAGGTACAGCCTTTGACATGATTCGTGAGGTCATTCCACATTCTGGGTCCCTTGATTTGTAGAGCACTTCTAGTTTGGTTACACACAGCCAAATTGAGTAACAGGAAGAGGTCTTGGACACAAATTTGTTCCATGCTAAATGTAGAGGAATCAGCTGAGTATTCCTCAAATAAAATAAGTTGCCTCAGCTTATAAGGTAAATAAAATAAGCATTTCTCAAATAAGTAGCTGCCTCACCTCACTGCCTTACTGCTACATAGCCTTCCCGGCATGGTGCCTTCTTTTGATAATTACTTGTTCCACACCCAAATTGTATAACAGGAAGAGGTTTTGGACCCCTACTTCCCTCTCTCTTTTTTAATAATCTACAGTATATAGTCATAATTATAGCTTTAAATATTCAATGAATAAAGTTTGTGACATTTTTACCCTTCTCCTTACCTAACATCATTTGTGCAGCATATTTTTATTTTATGTCTCACCCAGATTTAATTTCAAAATAAAACCAAACTAAATAAATTAGAAATGGGTATGTATAGCTAAGGTACACCCTTACTACTAGGTGAACAGGGGCATTTGGTGATAGTAAATGATCCCATCAGGCAGGGCTCATCACCTTCTCTCATATTTCATGTTCACCAGTGTTTATTTACTTAATAACTACTGGTATAATATCTTGCTATTATAAAACTAATTCTACTATCATCAAACACATATTTACTTCAAGTTTCAAGCAGAGAATGCATATATAACTAACACGAAGGATTCCTCTTCACTAGATTCACCAGCTATAATGTTTTGGTCATGTTCCAATATCATAAATCGATCCCAGTGTTATGTAGTAGAGAAAAAATGACTTATATCCAGTTTACGTAAAGCTACGAGTGGTCGAAACCACACTTAAATCCCGGAATGAACTTACGAAGGTTTTTCCACTTAGGGTACCTACTTGAATACGGACCTAGCCGCCACGAAGGCGCTAAGAAGGAATTCGCTCTTAGCTAAGAGGAAAAACCTTCGTAAGTACCTTCCTGAATCCGGCCCCTGGTCCCTGGTAAGTTTAAAGAACTCCAGGGCTGATGTGACGTAGTAGATATCTTGAGATGATTTTCGGGGCTTAGCGTCCCGGTCCTCAACCAGGCCTTCTTTTTGTTACACATCCCCAAGAAACCAACCCGTCCTCTTAAAAATAATGTCGCTTTTCACTCGTATGCACGCTATAACCAAAAATGGACATAATTTTAAATGAAATCGGCTCACGAAAGTGAAGTACTGTCCCGTTTTCTGTTTGAGTCCTCTGGCTTACTCGGAAAGGTTAAGAGAGGAAACTTTCAATTAACATTTTCCATGATGTTTTGAAACTTAAGGGTCCTCTGGTAGGTTAGGTGAGCAGGAAATTCTCCTTAACTTACTGTTGTGGAAAAAAAAAATTCCAAAATTTATTTAAATTTTTTTTCATTTTCAAATTACGGCCATATGGGCAAACGGCCAATTCAGCCGTAATTTGTAAGAGGACAGGTTGAGGAAGCAGCCCGTAGCAGCTGTCTAACTCCCAGGTACATATTTACTGTTAGGTGAACAGGGGCATCAGGGTGAAAGAAGCACTGTCCATTTGTTTCCTCTGGAATTGAACCCAGAACCTTAGGATAACGAATCCCGATCGCTGTCCACTCAACCTGAAGATATCAGTGTACTATATTTCTTCAGGAAACTACCATAACTGGCCCAGAAATTTGCTTTTCATTACACACAGTGCTAGTTTTATGGCGAGATAGCTTGGAGAGGTTTATTTGGTTAGATTAGGTAAAGCTGTTATTCCCATTAATCATCATGATCAACCCATGTCAGGTATGCTTTTTCTGGCCATTACAAAATTTTGTAATTGTTCAGTTGCTTACCTGCATCACTTCAAATATATGTAATGCAATACTGTAATTCTCAAATGGCTTTAAATTTGTATAAACGCTTGCTGGAGATAGGCTGAAGACGCAGGAGTATTCAGGACTAGTTCCACATGCAGCAAACAGCTGTAAAATGCAGAGAGAATTTTTACTGGACCAGAATTTGTTTGGACAGTTAGAATTTGTTAGTGATGGTAATGAATGTGGTACTGGTCTCCTATTACTGTACAGGGATGGGTAAAGTATATATTTCATTCAACATTTGTTAAGAACTGCTAAAAATAAAAAAAATTGTGTAAATCTAGTTCAATAAGCAGGGGAAAATATAGTACACATTTTGTTCAGTAATTTTATATTTATTTTCAGTTCACCTTGTACTGTGAATTGAAGGGAAATAAACCAGACTATCGTCATGCTATGGGCGGGGAAGCAGCACAAGAGTTTTATGCAGACTTTTGTACCCAATTATGCAAGCAGTATAAAAGTGATAAAGTCCAAGGTAAAAAGAGTTTAACTTTGTTGCTAAGTTTGGAATCATTTCACAGAAAATTTTATATTTTTTTTATTGAATGATTTTTGTTGTATACAGTATTTAGAAATGAGAAAGCATGTCATTGAAAAATTAAACTATTCTTACCTGACATTAACCAGAAAACTGGTGTGGTTTTCTATTTGCAAACATTCTTTGTAGTAATTGGCATCAAAAACAATTCCATGCAGCATGTCTCTCCACATTTAGTTTACTTTGTCATATCAATTAGAGTCCAGTTCAACATGCTGTATCCATCACTACTGATTCACTTCTTTATTTTTAGCTTTGTTAGATATTTAGTTCCTCTTGCAGTTATGGCATTATTTTGAATTAGAACAAATTCTCTTAGGGATGTAAGGCTTTCTTCCTAAGGGTACTAGATTGCAACCACTTAAATATGGATATCATATATCAAAATTACCTTGAAGTGGCGGATGTGAATATCAGAAGAAATTAAAATCCTGAATGACATTTACTTTTATTCTTTGCTTAAAATAGTGGACATTTAACCTTTAAGGCAGGCTGAGGAATCATAGAACTGATTACCCCCAGGACGTCGACTAAAGCGAGCACCTTAACTCTCCTTTAATGGGCCTTATGGAACTAGAACAGACCTGTGTAGGTATTGGGTTGCTGGCCAGCACTTCAAGTTTTAGAATGTAAATATCTGCCAGTAAAGGGTATGGGCAAACCACATTGAAGACAGGAATTGTAGATGTTTATCTCTCAAAATGTTTGGTAATATGTTTATTGTTTGTGATGTGTGTCTATGTATGTATTAATACAATGTACTGAACGGGGTGAGAATAGCTTGAGCTACCTCATCCCTTTGTGTGTATTTTACTTCAATAAACTTATTTCAATTTCAACGTTGAAGACTAGCCGTGCTCAAACCTGGACATACAACATGTATACGATTGTGCCATCTCCTGTAACAGTATTGCGGGTCTAGCTAGCTATCTTAGTTTTTCTATAAAGAATGTAATGGTCCTATATGATTAATGACAATACTCAACACCACCTTTTACAGTGGTGACTAACTTCAAAATACAGCTGCCCTCTCCACCACCACCATAACAAATAAGTGCCAGGTGGCATGCTCCATCCCAATATTTCCTTACTGGTTTTCAACATTTACACCTATCTTTTTGAATGTCTGAGGTATGTTCTTTGTGCCCATAAATTAATATTTTACATCTTTTTCAAAATTGTATGCTTGTTTAGGCACTCTTCCAGCTTTAGAGGTCCATCGGTTCTCGAGACTCGTGCACATACCCTGAATATTTAGCATCCACACATAAGATTCGAAATAGCTCTGGGCATTTTTTTGTGAATAATACTTTTGTCTAAATTAGGCCAATATTACAGCCCTGTCATACAATTCACACATCTCAGCAAAGAAATGAAAAGATGCAGTGTGTTTTAATTGCTTCAGAAATACATGGCAAATGTAAAAGCTGCAGTACTTTGATGAAGGAATTCAATGTTGGATACAGTATACATACGCTCAATTTAAAGTTACTTGCAGCTATACCCTGCTCAGTATTTATGGAATTACATAAAATCTGAAGTTGGCAAGTCAGCCATTGTATGCCATTTTTAAATGCCCAGTAATATCATTTATTTAATCTATTTAAATGATAGAAATTACAAATAAAATGTCAGCCCTCAATGTACAAGAATTTGAAGATATACGAATTTGTTTAACACTGATAATTCAGTATACATACTGAAATAATTCAGTATAAATACTGAAATAAATAAGTAAAAATATCCTGGGGCAGATCACATTAGTGTAAGTGCTCTGTCAATGTTTGCAAATTGCTAGACATACTTTGCATGGAACTATGCAAAGACAAGACAAAAGACAAAGACATAGCTCTTAGACAAAAGCTACACGGAGAGGTTAGAGGCATTAAATATGCAAAAGCTAGAAGATAGAAGAAAAAAAAGAGGCAATATGATCACTATGTACAAAATAGTAACAGGAATCGATAAAATTGATAGGGGAAGAATTCCTGAGACCTGGAACTTCAAGAACAAGAGGTCATAGATTTAAACTAACCAAACAAAGCTGCCAGAGAAATATAAGAAAATTCACTTTTGTAAACAGTGGTAGACGGTTGGAACAAGTTAGGCAAGGTGGTGGTGGAGGCCAAAACCCTCGGTAATTTCAAAGCATTATATGACAGTGCTGGGGTGACGGGACACCACGAGCGTAGCTCTCATCCTGTAACTACACTTGGGTAAATGTAATTACTTCCATACTACATCACAGCCAATTTTTTTTCTGTCCTGATCAGGGAATGCATTGCAATTGTCCCCATGTGACATATGCAGCCAAAGAGTCGAAGTTAAAATTTGAACTATGCTATTATTAATCTTTTGTGTAGTGTTAATGTAAGAATTTATCAATGTTTTACTATCAGTGTATGTATACAATTATTTATGGGTTGGCATGTAACATTATCTGGCATTGTTTAATATCAAGCATGGTTGGGAAACAACTTCTTTATCTGAAATTATGAATGTTTTATTATTTGTTTTTGCAGATGGGAAATTTGGAGCTATGATGCAAGTCAACATTCTTAATGATGGTCCAGTAACAATCAACATTGATTCTCCTCAAAGGACTGATAATTCTGCTAATAAAACTATTGGTTAACTAAATGCTTTTATAAGGCACAATAATAAATTATTCACATTGTATCTTTAATAGATCTTGAACCCTAAAATTAAAAATACATTTATAGATGGTAATTTCAATACACCAAACTTGAGAACCTCCATTCACTTATGATGATGCTCGAGCTGCTACCATGTGTTTAGCTCGTGTAAATGCTGCTAAAACAGATGATAGTTGCAGTTTTTCTGATGCACCTGCACACAACCTCACCTCCACATCAGACAACTGTGCCACTAGGTGAACACGAACTTCAACTGGAAAATCTACTAAAAGAGCATATATACATTAATCAGTAAATATGGCTATTATAAAAAATTTATTTTGCAGTGTACTCTTCCACTATATTAAATGAGTAACATTTCACTATATGTACTAGTTGTCCAAAGAAATAAAATGTACTTACTTCTATGAATGTATGTGTGCAGTTCTGTTAAAATATCTTGAAGGGCAAAACCTTTAGCAGTCTTTAACTCGCTCACATCTGTTCCCATATTAAGGAATACTAATAATGCTAGCAAACTTATTTTGGCCTATGTAGCAAACCTTCAATGAAGGTAATTTCCATAATACCATTACTGTATTTAATTTTTTTTTTGTTTTTTTTACTAAACTGCCAAACTAATAATGAATACAGTAATACAATTAAGACACATTCCAATCAAAAAGTTTCTCACTACAGTATATTAACCCTAGTGTTGTGATATTTATTTGGGTGTTATCTTGAAAATTTTGAATGAGTTTGGGAAATTGTAAAGAAAATCAAGGTAATTTGGGGAAGAAAAAATAAAATTCTAAATGCTGTAGTTTGTCCTTGGTTGGCTGCAGTAGTAAATTGACCCCCCCCCCCCCAAAAAAAAAAAATAGTTTCATAAGAAAATATTTTGATGATAATGTCTAGACTGTTTACTGCAACATTTGGCAAGTAATTAATTATCAAGGGAAGGCACAAAGCCACGAAGACTATGTAACACTGCCAGCATTGAAGGATATTCCCAAGACACTAAATATCACTCAGGATGCCACTAAGAGAACAAAAGGTGATAAAGTGACCAACATCAGAGGGACAGTATATTATTCACCAAGGATACTCTACTGAGGAACAAGCGACCTGGAGGGACATTAGGAACGCAAGATGAATGACCATCTTGAAAAGTAGAACCGTCTACAAGGAGGTGCAAGACTAAATGGGATGATATTGTTCAAACAAAACGGAGCAGGACCCTTGGGGGTTGGGGGGCACATGACCTTCAACAAATATAAACTTTATGAACTACTTTTTTCTGTTTTGATTTTTTGGGTCTATATGCAGTCCAATTTTTAAATATGTAATAATCATTCCACCATTTAATGAACTTTACTTCTGGCTAATGCCATTCAAAGTTCTCTCAAAAATATATTATTCAGTTAGAATGTTCACAATCACATTTCCTGAAATGATCACAATTCAGACATTAATTATGTAGTCAAAGGATTAAAAGGAAATCATGACAAAAAAAAATCGAATTGTCAAATGTGGATGAGGGGCAGAAAAGTTTTGCCCCCTGATAACAAAAAATTTGAATGTTTTATGTTATAAAGTAAATATTTATATTTGCCAAACTTTAGGTGTGCAACAAAGTTTTTAAATTAAAATATAGAATGCATGTACAGTAAATGCACAAAGAAATTTTGAAAATAAATGCAGCTGCAATACTTTCGGTTTCCATGCATACATAAATTTGTGTAGGAGTGGTTCAATCGGCCTGACCAAAACCCAGAATAATCACACCAATTTAACTAGCCCTATCCAGACAAGACAAATATTTCACAAAATAAGAAAAGGATACTTTTGTAGGCTATGTCAAATTGTTCATTCAGCATCCAGTTTATAATATTTGTGATATCTGAGCGAAGAGGATGACCCACACAAGTGTAGACGTTATCCTCTGTCACCTGAAAAACACAATGTTGAAAATAATAATTGTCAAGAATGAAACAAACTTTATTATAAACATACTACTTGACTAAGGTGCAGGGCAGAGCTAAATGTTATCTCTCTCTTATTTAATAGATTCAGTGAATACTGCCATAATAATGTATACAGTACAGGACAGCATACTTAAATCACCATTAACACATTAGTAGGTCACCAAAGCACATTCTAACTCCTGTATGTGGTGATAAAAACCCACACTGGACGAAACCCCTCTATCTAAAGGAGCCTCGGTACCCAACCCATCTTCCTAATAGAATGTTGCATTTTGACGTATACTTTGCCCATGACCAAAAATCGTCGATACTAGAAAATGGTAGAGGCTCACGCATAAAGCCCGGTGCATTAGGGAGCTTGAGCTACGCTTTGAGTGACTGTTCGGACTCGGTACTGACAAATTATCTCAGTAAGTTAGTTTCAGGGAGCCAATGGGGGTCTATCAGAAAGAGGAATTTTGTTACATTCAATGCTGGGTTTTTTATTATAGCAAGCAGTTACCTTGGTAGGAGATTGAACCTCATCTTCCCTCCCCAACTAAGTAGGAAAACCATCTTAAAAGTTTTGTCACCCACAAGACAAAAGTAAACACGACCTGCACATGAGCCATGTCCTGGGTGGACCCCGGCTCCGGGTGACACTTAAAAAGACCTTACTCAGACAACAGATTAATCTATTAAGTGTATTATTCTTAGGCTAATACTATTTTATGGTCATATGCAAGTGTTGTAGGATGTAGGTCAATACAACAAGATTTTCTAAGGATACTGCTCAGAAGCTACAAAAAGAAAAATCCCAATAAGGTTACATTGCTCAGATTCATTAGCAGCAGTAATTTCTTGCCTAAACTCCATTATTTTATGTCAAGTTAACACAATGAGCCATTTTAGTCATTGAGCAGAAACCTCTTAAAAGAAATCTGACCATCAACAAGGTATCCCAACCACAGTCATAAAAACAAATAATAACACACTTGGACACACTTTGATAGACATTAGAATATGCAGAAGACTGATTCTGACATGACAGCATATTCACCCAGTCTACAAAAAACACTTAAAGAGAGGTTACCTAAAGTAATGCAAATAGTCACCTAGGAGAAAAAACAGGGACACTATGTAAGACTGAACAGACTACTATATTTAATGATCACACCTTCAAGAGGTGGAATCTAAGATACTGCAGTGTATTTGCATTAAAATAGAATTGAAAACTTTTTTACTCATGGGACACAAAAACCAAATGTTCCAAGATAAAGATCCAAGAGTATATTGTTCAATACGATGCCATCTTGTGGGTATGAAACGAGAAAAGGCAGTATTTGAAGCACTCGCCCGGAAAGTTATTACTCTGGAATATTTGCTTTTTGCATGAAATCCTACTTACGTCTTTATAAGCCATTGCTGTTGACTGCAGTATGTTTAACACCCTCCTCATGTCCCCTCCTGACAAAGCTAATAATGCCTTTCTTCCATCATCTGTTACAGTGACCCTGTATAGAAACATTTATTAATCATTCATCAAAATGTTACACATACTGTACTACTTCCTTGTTGTTTTCTTTGTAAAGAAACAATTTTACAATTCTCAGCCTTATGGACATGCTTTTAAAGGAAATTATGTAGAAAGTAGTACCACATCAAATTGTTTGGATGTGTAATAATGGAATGATAGTCAGAATACTTAGGAGATACAAGCACTTTGCCCCAAGAGTGTAACACTTAAATGCAGTGTTGACTATTTTAATGTGTAATGTACAATATGATTTGTGTACTGTGATTTGTGGATTTGCAGCCTATCCTCCTGTTTTGGTAGTACTTACAGTAATCATGAGGACCATAGTACACTGCAACTAAAACTTTATTGTACTGATGTACAATGCAATTAGAAAGTAGAAATCTATACTATTGAATTTGGACAAACCAGAAAAGGTTTTGTATTTATGTTGCAAAGACAGCCTAACCTAGCCTTCCTAGGCCTAATACACACTATCTGAGGCATAATATAGAACGTATGTGTACTACAAGGATTATTTGTTTTTTGTTTTTTAGTTTTTTTTTCAGATTAAAGTAATAGTACCAAATTCTACTATTTAATTGCTCAGTACATCAATGTTTGTACTATGGTGCACACAGTTACAAAAACTACTATCTAAACAGGAGGACGGGTTGGGATTTGTACTTACTGGATTTGTGAACCTGTTGAGAGACCTGAAGTAGAGGAGGGTAGAAATAGCTTCTATCCTTCCAAGATGTATCCTATTGTCTAAATAAACATACTTGAACTTGAATTATGTAGAACCTTGAGGAAAAGATCACTTGGAGGTAAATTATTTAACATCATACCTTGGTGCACATTGTTAAGATGTGTTCCTTTATCACGAAAAAGAAATTGTAACTCACTTTGGCTGTGGTAAAGTGAAGTAAATCTCATGATGTCATTAATAATGAGTGTTCGTGTTCATGGCACTATCACCCATTGGAGGTTGTCCTGGACCAGGTGTGGGAAAGAGCTGTCACAGATATTTTTACATAATAAAACACTCTCCTGTTATTACACTGTATACATAGGTTATATATAACTATCTACATTTTTATACACCATAACAAGCCACTAAGCATTTCTGGTGTGTGTGTGTGTGTGTGTATGGTAACATTGTAATCCAAGTATAGCACAGCCTCACATGCTAGTCAGTTGCCAACAGCACTTGACACAGCAAAATGCTTCACACTATACAGCTCATCCTCCTGTTTAGGTAGTACTTATAGCAACGATGAGGACCATCGTATATATATTGACAAAGGTAATTAGAAAAGTAGAAATTAGAACTATTGAATTTGGACAAACTGGAAAAGGTTTTACATTAAGCCTCCACCAGGGATCGAATCTGGAACCTCAGGACTATGAATCCGAAGTGCTGTCCACTCAGCTGTCAGGCCCCAAATGTTCCACACATTTTCTTACATAAATTTCTCAATTTATGATACACTATTGAATAACATTACTTAAAGAAAAAGTGACATTGAGATAAATATGTAAAGTGACTGCTCCATGAATGGTCACAAATCATAACATCATTTCAAGATTTCCTACCTTCACCATGGCCAAATTAAGTCAATTTTTTTTTTAATTTCCCATGATCAGGGAACTTGCCTTCCAAGCACTAATTGCACTTACACTTTATTGAGATTAACGATGCAAGAGATTAAATATGCAGGCGATGAGTCACAATAACGTGGCTGAAGTATGTTGACCAGACCACACACTAGAAGTTGAAGGGACGACGACGTTTCGGTCCGTCCTGGACCATTCTCAAGTCGATTGTGATGAGGAGGTAGGGACAGGCAATAAACAGGCAAGAGAGAGCTGAGGAGGAAAGTAAGGTGTAGGGGATAGTAGTAGTAGTTCTGCAGTTCTCATTATTACTACTATCCCCTACACCTTACTTTCCTCCTCAGCTCTCTCTTGCCTATTTATTGCCTGTCCCTACCTCCTCATCACAATCGACTTGAGAATGGTCCAGGACGGACCGAAACGTCGTCGTCCCTTCAACTTCTAGTGTGTGGTCTGGTCAACAAGAGATTAAATACATCTCATACAATAAAAACACAGTCTGCAACCTTACTTTTCTTGTTCGATGACATAGTTCAACCTGGGAAGGATTTGGTCCGATGACAATGGTCCAAATCTAAATCGAGTGCATCGTGACTGAATGGCTGGGATGATTTTACTGAGATAGTTGCAGATAAGGCAAAATCGAACATTGTCCGTGAATTTTTCAATTACTGAAAATATAAAATTAGAAATTCAATTGATTACAATGTATGTAATAAAGTTTGTCATCAAATATACAATAGCAAAATGAATTACCAACCAGCTGATGTGGGATAATGATCATGGATACTGCAACCAACTCAAATTCAAAAGAAGACATTGTGTAGTTTCCGGGGATCAACAGCCCTGCAACCTAGTCTCTGACAGGCATCTGACCAGGACCATCAAAGGAGGACCTTCCTCCTAGTCCTGAAGGAGCAACTGTAAAATATCCGAGCACTCCACTGAGGGTGAAAGACAGAAATGCAGAAACCTCTATATACAAAATGCTTCTGGAAACAGCTCAGACTTGGAAGGGTGCCCTCTGAGGAATCCATCTCAAAAATCAAAGGAGGGGTACAACAAACTCCACATCTTATTACTCAAATACCCCTCCTCAGAGGGACCCAATCAGAGAGAAAAAGCACCCGGCAACTTACCTTGGGGTCCTCCTCAGCCCTGGACACCCCAAGAACAGAAGGCACTGGGGGGTTATCTTGAGATGAGGTTATCTTGAGATGATTTCGGTGCATAGCGTCCCTGCGGCCTGGTACTCGACCAGGCCTTCTTTTTGTTACACATCCCCAGGAAGCAGCCCATAGCAGCTGTCTGACTCTCAACTGACTGTCACTTATTTACTGCTAGGTAACAGGGGCATCAGGGTGAAAGAAATGCTACCCATTTGTTTCCACCTCCACCGGGGATCAAACCCGGAACTTCAGGACTACGAACACAAAGCGCTGTCCACTCAGCTGTCAGGCCCCTCAGAGGGGCCTGACAGCTGAGACAGCTCTGCAGGGGCAGAGATAAGTAAAGAGGACAGAAAAACAGTCCACACCAGACACAGAGGACAGAAAAATGTCTTCCTACAGGTAAGGATCCATGGCTGTAACCCCCCCCCCCCCCCACTCAAAGAAACAGAAGGCAGCAGATCTTTGGTGGGAAGACCAGCTCAACTACCTCTTCCATTGAAGTGGACAGGGCAGATACCAGAGAATGCTCAAACACATCTAGAGTGTCACTACCATAACCTTCAGACACTTCAGAAGTGGAAGCACAGAATGAGGAGGGCCTAGGCCCACTGAACAATGCCAGACAGATACAGGAAAGTAGATGGAGGAGCAAACTTTGAGCAACTAGAAAAAAATCCAACTGCTCCAAGTCCGAGTCAAGAAAGACAAAGGGGCCGACTCTGGGGCAATCACCAACACAAAACCACAACCTATGTATATGGACAAACCTGGCCTGTAAAGTGGCAGCTGCCTGATCAGCCAAGTCCCTAGAAGTAAAGTAATGACTACAAACATCGCAGACCTCAGGATGGACAGTATCCCTCGCCTAACAGGCAGAAGTAAAAATGTAAAGTTGTAGGAGTGGCCACTAGAATACATAAAAATTGAGGCACACCCTTCAAACTTACAACCTGTGAGGACAAAATCAGGAGGCCAGTAAAAAATAAACCTTCCAAAAACTGCAAAGGGCTTTCCAGTCCCAAAGAGTAGACCAAGCAGGAATGACTGGGCACAGGGGCCTCCAGGTGAATATTACAAACACCGAAAACAGCCTAGGGGCAAATGTGGCTGTTAAGGGCACAAGTGGCATGCCATATATTAAGCACCCAAGCATCCTGTGCTACACTTATACAAAACCCCCAGACAGCACCCATCCACTAAGCCTGACAGAGGAGTCAATGGTCTGTCTACTGATAAGGATGAGGTAACAAGCCCTTGAAAGGGAAAGGTGCCTCATCCTGGTATGTATGAGGCAAAATGACTGAGGTTCAAGGCTAATGAATTGAGGAGGAAGGTGCACATTTCCCTGGTGATCCGCAGGAGGAACTAACAAGAGAACTATTTAACAACAGGATATTTTGTTCATTTCGAGGTTTTGTCGTCTCATTTTCTATCCCTTGTTTACCTCTTTGTTTAGCTCTTTGTATGTTTTGGTTTGCCCACCTTTCTGGTGGCTTTTTTTTTTGGTTAGAGTAATCTAGAATCCCCTACTGCCCCTTTACAGGGGACCAGGTGTTGGCCTCTGGTCCCCAGTAGGCTTACAATAACTCTCAAGGGCCTGGTATGAATTGAATTGGATGGAGCTATCCAGGTAGCTAGCACCAAGGAACCATCAACAGGAATCCTTCCAGAAACAACACATAGGCAGGTAAGAGTGGGATGTATGCACAACATTATAAATACTGCTGGTAAACAACATTAAGGAAACAAAGCAAAAATAATGCTTATAGAAATAAATTATTGGCAAGATTAAATTTTGAGGCCACTTTCAGTATTGATGTATAACAAGATGTTCTTTAAATAAACAAAATAACAAACCCTACAAGTAGGAAATGACATTCAAAATACAGTACTCATCTTCAAAACTAACCAACATTTATCAGAAAATCATAAACAAGAAATGATAAAGTTTGCAGTACAGCATTTATATTGCTTCTTTACTAGATCAGTGCACATATTTGTTTTGAACTGATTTAAGGCATAGGTTGGAAAGAATATGAATTAAGAGATTTGTCTCACCTCTCCTTAATGCATTCTGTGCATCATTGGTCATGGCATCAGCCTCATCTAAAATGACAAGCTTGAACCCAGACTTAAATATGGTGCGTGTACTGGCAAAGCTGAGTATCTGTTGCCTCACAACACCAATACCGCGGTCATCTGAAGCATTCAGTTCTAAAACCTGTAAACATTGATTAATTATTAAATATTTAATGAATACATACTGTAATAAATTTAATTTTACAAATTCAATATTTAATCCTTTTATGTTATATACATACCATAGAATTGAACTCCTTGGGAGTATAAAGTTTGCGAGCACATGCAAGAATAGTGGATGTCTTGCCAGTTCCTGGTGGACCATAGAAGAGTAAGTGTGGTAGATGATCCTCATCAATGAACCGCTCAACTGAAGATAAATACAAAATAAAGGACGCATAATTAGTGATAACAAAACTGCAAACAAAAGAGCAATAGTCTACTGCAAAATATCGAGCTCTCTTAGCCCTGCTTAACCCTTAACACTTGTTTCATGTGACAACTTTGTGTTGAGCACAAACAAATTAAATATTACATTTTTGTTTCTAATGTTGTTACAATGCATTCCCTGATCACAAGAAACTTAAAACAAAAATGGCATGTAGCTAAATTTGGATATGGCGGAGTGGAAAACTGTGATGGCATCACTAATTCACGCTTGCTGATGAATGAGATGCCCTGTGAAGGTTGTCTGGGTGGCAGGAGTTGCCATATATACTGTATATCTATACTGATTTACTTCAGTATCACTAATTCATTCACTGTTTTTTATAGTTATATTATGTAATAGTAATTTGAGAAATATTTAATAAATTGTGCAGAACATTGATGCAGACGAAAACATTCATGTCACTAATATGAACATGTTCACATGTTGTATTCTTTGGACAATTAAACATACTAGCACCACATATCTTGCACCAAGTTGCAAGTACAAGACTACATACATTGAATGTATCGTAATTTATTTTCTTCATATTTTTATTGATATTACCCTGTTTGGTGGGGCTTGCCCAGAATCTGACAGACTGGAAGCACTATGAGCTCCAGTAGACGCTGCGCCATCAGCAATGAACTAACCTGGGAAACTGTGAGGATAGGCTGTCTGGTGGTGGTATTTCGTACTAATGAGTTTCAAGCTAGTTTCAGTGAATCTCTTGTTTTGAGTCCCTTCAGAAAACTAACCTGGTGTAACTAAAAAAATATCTATACCAGGTGTAACTAAATGTTACACCTGGTATATATGTATTGTACAGTACTATAAAATATAAATTAACTAACTTACTTGTGGAGATGATATCCTCATGAGAGATAAGATCCTGAAGAGTTTGGGGTCGATACTTCTCTACCCTACAAGACAGAAATTAAAATAAACAGCTTGTTAATTTACAAAAATACAATATTGTCATTTTTTCCATGATGGATGTTTCTGTGTATGCATTAACATTGTAGCATTGAATTTACTATGCCAACTACTACATGCAAAATCCTTACCCCACTTTGGAGGCAAATGTATCCTGAATTACGAAGTTTGGTTTGGTTCGATTAGCTCAGCCAATGATATTTCCTCATATTGTATTACCATATAAACTGCAACCAGTACTACTTTCACAGTACACTGAACACAATTAACAAAGTTTAAAGTTGCTTGTTTTTAAATATATTAATTCATTGAAAGCTGATACAGACTATAGTAATCAATATATGTTTAAATCTCAGTGAGATTTAAACAATCTCCCTTTGAAAATTATTTATTGATTACTATTTATTTTTTGTATTAAATAACCTCTAGCTTAACCCACTCCAACCTAACCTAACCAATTTTAACACTTAGAAATGAGCTTCATTACCATGCTTATGTAAGATTGGGGGTACAGTCAAATCATACACAAGACAATTCAACATTATTTTCTGTTTGTTAAACCTGAATATATTGTTTGGTTAGAATGTATTAGCTTAGATTCAGGTGGGCTGGTTTGGGATGGGCTAGTGGGCTGTGCTTGGTTGGTCTGGGCTAGAATTGGGGCTGGTCTGGGCTAAGTTTGAGGCTTAGGGCTGGGTTTGAGGCAGGGCAGGACTGGGTTGAGTTTGGGGCTGGGTTTTGGCTGCACTGGGCTGAGTTTGGGGCTGGGTTTTGGCTGCACTAGCCTGAGTTTCAGGCTGGGATTGCGGCTGGCTTTAGGGCTGTTTTTTATTTCCCTGAGGTGATGTTGGGCCTGTTTTCAATGTTTATCCTTGCTACTGTTCCTCTAGAGTCTACTGTATTTACATTACAAGAAATCCTTTACTAACCATGGTAAATTTTGATTTTTGTCATCGTTGACACCCATGGTCCCTTAGTATGAGCCTGCAGGCGCGTGTAGTGTTGTTGTATGTGGCGTCAGCTGAGCTCTGGGCGGGAACGTTTACTCTCCAGGCCTGGCGGGAGAACTTGCTGATGGCGTCGCAAGTAATGAAAAAGAAAATTTGCCAGCATATCAAGCAGATAAATGGCAAAATTTCTGTTCTCATTGATGAATCAACAAGCCTGAACTTGTTGTTCAAGCAACCTTGATAGTTGTTGTTGCTACATTTACATTTATACATACATTTATTTGAAATGCCTTGATATATTTGATACATTTATACCTTGATACATTTATTTAAAATGTAAAAGTGATAAGGAAAGTAATCCCCATTTCATGTTCTTACATCTAATTGAACTACCTGATCAGAAAACAGCAACTATTGCTAGGCATCTATAGAGCTCAGCTGTCTCAATTATCATGGGTTCGATGACTTATATTTGAAACAGAATCTTGTAGTATTTGCTAGTGATGGGGCAAGTGTCATGATTGGTGTCAAATATAGCGTTGCAACACTTCTCAAGGAACATTACCCTGATATAATAATCTGACACTCACAGATTAGAAGTTGCAGTAGGTGAGTCAGTGAGAGAAGTTCATGGAATTAATAATTTTCTAGCATTTATGGACAAATTGTACTCAGTTTACAGTATCTTTTACCTTTTACCTTTACTTTTAAGGATTTTTCTTTAAATCAAAAGGAATTATCTGAATGTGCCTTTTAACTTGAACAACAGATTTGCAAAATAGGCCGTGTTCTGAGCACAAACAATTTCTATTGGATTTAGCTCTAATATATGACACGTTGCATACATTAGAGAACGTATGCAACATTACTTTCATATGTAATGAATACATACATTACATTTATTTACATTAATGTATGTAAATGTATGCATATACTTGGTTTAGCCTACGTTTGAAACCTACTTTGTTAATGCAACAATACTGACCCCGGACAATCATACATAGAAAACTATAGAAGCAATGCCTGTGGCGCAGTGGTAAGACACTTGCCCGGCGCTTCGCGAGTGCTTCGGCCTGGATTCGTATCCTGGCCGAAGAGGATTGACTGGGCGCCAATCCTTAACTGTAGCCTCTGTTCACGCAGCAGTGAATGGGTACCTGGTTGTTACACGATTCAGCGAGTCGTATTACGGGGGGGAAAGAATAGGAGTAAGAACCTGCCCGAAACGCTATGGGTGCAAGTGGCTGTACAGGAGTGAAAGAGTTCTTGTATATAAAAAAACATAAAAACAAAACAAAATAGTCCCGTAACCATAGCAACAGAGCCGACACCATCAACAAACAACAGCTGACGCTGTTGACGGACCACTCAGCAGCCGCCAAGCATCAAGTCTACACCACAACATACAAGTCTTGCCACATCATAACATTGAAGCTCCCCCTCTTACGCGTCTTCTGACACCTTTTAGTTTAGTTCATTTATTATGCACCCCATACCCATCTTGTGGGCAGTAGTGGAAAGGGTTACAGAGGCACATAATGGGCTCAGGGACTGAACCCCACAGATCATTTAGCTAAGCAAGTTACAATCTTGATGAGCTAGTTACAAAATTCACTATATGTCGGTGTAAATCATGAAAATTAACATATGATGAAAAATGTGACAGTGTCAGACCACGAAGGAAGAATTGAAACAGGAATTTTCGTACGTACTTATGTATTTAATAATACGTCTACAGAAAGAATGTATTATTCCTTCATTCCTTTTGAAGATGTATTATTAAATACGAAAGTACTTATGTATATATATATATATATATATATATATATATATATATATATATATATTTTATTAAATATGACCGAAAAAGTAAGATTAATAATTCTAACACGAATTTTCTCAATCTTTCGTACATTATGCTTCACAGTTGGAGGTAAATCAAAAATCACTTCTCCAAAATTCATTTTTATTTCTAGTCTGACGCGACACGGGCGCGTTTCGTAAAACTTATTACATTTTCAAAGACTTCACAAATACACAACTGATTAGAACTTGCGTTTCCCTGATTTTATATCTACATTTGAGTGAGGTGGGAAGGGTGATGTGGCATTACATTTGAGTAAGGTGGGAAGGATGATGTGGCATTAGAGGATATTAATAGGGTATTAAAAGTATCAACACAAGACAGAACACGAAACAATGGATATTGAATAGAAGTGTTTGTAGAAAGCCTATTGGTCCATATTTCTTGATGCTTCTATATTGGAGCGGAGTCTTGAGGTGGGTAGAATATAGTTGTGCAATAATTGGCTGTTGATTGCTGGTGTTGACTTCTTGATGTGTAGTGCCTCGCAAACGTCTAGCCGCCTGCTATCGCTGTATCTATCGATGATTTCTGTGTTGTTTACTAGGATTTCTCTGGCGATGGTTTGGTTATGGGAAGAGACTTCCCATAACCAAACCATCGCCTTCTCTTCCCATAACCAAACCATCGCCAGAGAAATCCTAGTAAACAACACAGAAATCATCGATAGATACAGCGATAGCAGGCGGCTAGACGTTTGCGAGGCACTACACATCAAGAAGTCAACACCAGCAATCAACAGCCAATTATTGCACAACTATATTCTACCCACCTCAAGACTCCGCTCCAATATAGAAGCATCAAGAAATATGGACCAATAGGCTTTCTACAAACACTTCTATTCAATATCCATTGTTTCGTGTTCTGTCTTGTGTTGATACTTTTAATACCCTATTAATATCCTCTAATGCCACATCATCCTTCCCACCTTACTCAAATGTAATGCCACATCACCCTTCCCACCTCACTCAAATGTAGATATAAAATCAGGGAAACGCAAGTTCTAATCAGTTGTGTATTTGTGAAGTCTTTGAAAATGTAATAAGTTTTACGAAACGCGCCCGTGTCGCGTCAGACTAGAAATAAAAATGAATTTTGGAGAAGTGATTTTTGATTTACCTCCAACTGTGAAGCATAATGTACGAAAGATTGAGAAAATTCGTGTTAGAATTATTAATCTTACTTTTTCGGTCATATTTAATAAAATATGTCTACAGGAAAGACTGCTACCAAAATATATATATATATATATATATATATATATATATATATATATATATATATATATATATATATATATATATATATATATATATATATATATATATATATATATATATATATATATATATATATATATATATATTATATATATATATATATATATATTATATATATATATAATACATATATATTATATTATATATAATATATATATATTATATTATATATAATATATATATATTATATATATATAATATATATATTATATATATATATATATATATATATTATATATATTATATTACATTATATATAATATATATATATATTATATATATTTTTATATATTATATTATATATAATATATATATATATATATATATATATATATATATATATATATATATATATATATATATATATATATATATATATATATATATATATATATATATATATATATACAGTATTACATTTTATATGTAAAATGTATAGTACTATATACAGTATTTATATATGTTACATATACTGTATATGTATACTAGTCGTGTATGTATAAATAAATAAATAAATAAATAAATATTTATTTATTTGTTACTTAATTTTTTCTCACCGAAAGGGTGAGATCAATGATACCTGCCACCTCAAATTTTGTGTATGAGTTAAGATTACCTGAAATGCTATGCATCTTAGTAGTTTCCCAAGAATGAACCATTTAATGATCAAAATACAGTACAGTATATTGTATACATTCACAACCTATTGTACCTTGTATACTGTATATACTGTACAAGTAAATTATATACAGGTATACTGATCCTGCTGCTTAGACAAGTACCTGCTTTGCAGGCATGCATACATATTTTTACCAGATAGCCTGCAAGGACATATTGTAGTTCTATTAATAAATACATACAGTATAGTATTTGAAAACATAAACTAATGATAATATTTTTATTTTTAAATACATAACTAATTGTTTATTCTTGATTCTGCAGAATTATGTTATGGCTTGTGAATCATGCCTTCTCCAGATCAAACAGTTTTCTTCTTGCTATCTGTGCTTCTACCATAATTCTAGTTGGTATGTGCACGCAAATCTACAGTACCTAAACAAATATCTAGTTCTTGTTGTATAGTATACAGCACAATATTTCTTGTTTGCATCTGTTTTAATCTTAATAATATTAATCTTAACAGTTTTAATCTTACTGTAATATTTTCAGATGACAACTGCAAGGGTCTTTGAAAAAACAAAGCACTGAAACAGCCAAATGACTCCACAAACAAATACTGTAGGTTCACTTGAAATCAGCTAAAATCTTTTAGTACTAATAACTAATAGATCTGGGCTGCCACCAGGCAGCACAGATCTGTGGACTACAGCCACCTCCAATGGTCAGTCAGGACATGTTGGACAATGAGCTGAGAAACATGGTAGGGAGGAAAGGAGTCAGGGAGCCACCTGGGCTCTAGCAGAAAGAGGCATTTCATTATATTGAATGCTGGTTGTTTGGAAGGAGCCCCTTGGTGGCTCCCTGAAACTAACTAGCCAGAAAGAAACAGGAAACAAAAGTCTTACCAGCGAGGAGAATAGATGGCAAGAACTGTTATGAAAAAGAGACTATGGGTCAGGCAGCCCGACCAGCCTGTATATCAAAGTCCAAAGGCACTTTGGACTGAGAAGCAGTGGAACCTGCTGCGAGTTGGCGACCCAAGGAGCATTACTAAACGAGTTAACATCATTGACAAACACCCAGCCAATAAATCTGAAAATTAAGAAATGATTATGTTTTAGTCCATCCTGGACTGATCTGATAAAGGTCTGGGATGCTGAAATATTATGAATTCTTTATTTTCAAATTTGTGGGTTGGGTGACTAATTTCCAGCCATGTCTTGTGACTTATTGTCTTCATCAGTGACATGACTGACCATGGAGGCAACTGTGCCTGGGGCTCCAGGCCACCTGGTGGCAGCATCGAGCTAGTTTCAAATAAACCATTTTGCCTTGAATGAATCATTTGTGGTGATATTTTGCTGTTTTGATGATTTCTTTTATGAACCTTGCAGTTGTTTGTAAAACTTTGCTGACTTTCTGGATGCTTTTCTGGTGAGGGTGATGATGATAATCCTCCTGCTCCTTGCACCTCTGTGATGGTGGGGGGAAGGGGGAAAAAGTTCTTTCTCTGGTCCCCGGTAAGCTAAACAGGACTCCTACGACTGATGCAATCCAGTAGTGGGGAACCAACTCGGCAAGAAAACTTCAGGAAGCCATCAAAGAGCTTGCCCAGAAAGCATATTATGAAAATTACTTCACGAAATCCATCATATCAAGGTCCGAAATTTTGAGGGAACCACTATACTGTATAATAAAAATTGGCAATTATTTTTATTAAAAAAAGTTCAACTAATTTACATGATTAATGGTGCTGACTTGTGAATATAAAACTTAGCAAATGAATTGAGTAAAAAGGCAGAAAATTATGTACGAGACGGCCCTACATGAAGGACCTCATAATATGAAAGGAGGAAATAATCTTGTGAGTTAGGTTGATAAGAAGTTCACAAATCATTATTTTAGTTTAAGGACCAAGGAGAGGTGAGTAGTGGTAGGTCACATGTTAAGAACAGTTCAGAAATGAACTTGACTGGTTTAATACTAAACTTTGACTGGTTTAATAAATTCCCATGGGATTATTACATATTATATAGTATAAATAAAATAGATGTAGACTCAAGTTTGCATTATCATTTCACTGGATAGGAGAAACCAATGACAATGTAGGAAACATAAGGGAGGCCAAAGTTTTATATCCTATTCTAACTTTAACTTAGACATAATATGCATACATATTACTAGATTACATTCTGTCTTGAACACTTTAATAAACAGTAGTATAGACAATTACAATAGATTTATCATGATTTTAGGATTCATGAACTGGATTACAACGAAGAGAAGTGCACTGAGCCAGATAATGAAGCAGCATCCAAAGGTCCACCAAAGTATGATGCTGCAGGAAGATAATCATCATCCTGAATTCGAACAGCAATTGATGAACCTTGTTACTGCATTGGAAAAGCTCTCTGTTGAGAAACAAGGTGCCTTAATACAAAAAATTCAAGCTACCATAACTGACACCTACCAGCCTGGACCACAAAAGGTACACAACAAAAATAAAAACATATAAAATTTATTCTAACATTTCTGTGGGGAGGGGGGGCTCTTCAGTGGCTTTCCGGAGCTAACTACTGTACCTGGATAGTCTACACACACATGTAACATCAGGCCCTTGCAAGTCATAAAAGTCTACTGAAGACCAGATTTTCTCTGGCCTCAAATATGTATATAAGACTCTCAAGGACCAGATGTGACATGTGTAGGACTGTCTGTGTAGCCCTCAGGGGTTCACCGAGGTGGGCAACCAGAAACAGGCCTTTCATTACATTCAACTTTGGATTTTCAAGTGCTGAGATTTAATATATTTGTTCTTCCTTGGCAATTAGATTTTATAGAACCTAACTTACTGAAAGTGCCCTTTCAGTTGCTCCCAAGGAGGAACTAGGTTAAGGTTAAGTTTTAGGTTAGGTTAAGTTTTTTTTGCAACATCAGCACAAAAACTTTTACGGTTTTTCCAAATTCAGTAGTACAGTACCGATTTTTACTTTCTGTTGCCTTTTACGTCAGTATACAGTACAGTATTACGATGGTCCTCATCATTTCTACAAGTACTACTTAAACTGGAGGATAGGCTGACAAACACATATGTGAGTCTGATGTAATGATATATATATCTTGAGCCGGATATAGGGGAGCCGGTCGGCCGAGCGGACAGCACGCTGGACTTGTGATCCTGTGGTCCCGGGTTCGATCCCGGGCGCCGGCGAGAAACAATGGGCAGAGTTTCTTTCACCCTATGCCCCTGTTACCTAGCAGTAAATAGGTACCTGGGTGCTAGTCAGCTATCACGGGCTGCTTCCTGGGGGTGGAGGCCTGGTCGAGGACCGGGCCGCGGGGACACTAAAAAAAAAGCCCCGAAATCATCTCAAGATAACCTCAAGATATATGTGAATGTGATGTACAAACATGTATATATAATGTATTTTATTAAAATGTATGTGTATATACATTATTCAAATACTGTATATGTGTATTATGCATAAGCATAAATGTGATTGTAAGCAAATTATTTGTATGTGATTTACATAAATTGCAATGCGTATAATAGTGTGCATGATCTGAACTTCCACAGGATAGTGAAAGGCAGTTACCTGCTAGAGTGGTGCATTCCTCAGCATGGGTCAAATATAAGAAGCTTTGGCGTGGGTTTCCCTTGCCTGTGCTGACATGTGATCCTCTGGGCCGTTTTGGGAATGTGATGGGACAGTATGCCACGTTGTATGCTCTAGCGCACCTTTACAATGTGTCTGTTGTTATCCACCCTAAGATGAAGAAGCAGTTTGTCGATATATTTCCCAACACTTCCCTGCCTGACTTGCCAGGTGGGTGCTTCATACTTCCAAACCTAACCTGCCAGGTTAGTATTCTACACCTCACTGCCAGGTTAGTATCCTACACCTCACTGCCAGGTTAGTATCCTACACCTCACTGCCAGGTTAGTATCCTACACCTCACTGCCAGGTTAGTATCCTACACCTCACTGCCAGGTTAGTATCCTACACCTCACTGCCAGGTTAGTATCCTACACCTCACTGCCAGGTTAGTATCCTACACCTCACTGCCAGGTTAGTATCCTACACCTCACTGCCAGGTTAGTATCCTACACCTCACTGCCAGGTTAGTATCCTACACCTCACTGCCAGGTTAGTATCCTACACCTCACTGCCAAGTTAGTATCCTACACCTCACTGCCAGGTTAGTATCCTACACTTCACTGCCAGGTTAGTATCCTACACCTCACTGCCAGGTTAGTATCCTACACCTCACTGCCAGGTTAGTATCCTACACCTCACTGCCAGGTTAGTATCCTACATCTCACTGCCAGGTTAGTATCCTACATCTCACTGCCAGGTTAGCACCCTGCACCTTAATCCCAAATTAGTGCCCTACATCTCACTGGCAGATTAGTACCATACAGTTCACTACCAGATTAGTACACTACACCTCATTGCCATGTTAGATTCCTATACTTCACAGCTAGGTTAGTACTCTACATGTCACTGCCATGACAGAACCATACCTGTCACTGCCAGGCCAGTACCCTCTACATCACTGTTAGGCTAGTATCCTACATGTCACTGCCAGGTCAGTACCCTCCACATCACTGCCAGGCTAGTACCCCAATACATCACTGCCAGGCTAGTACCCCAATACATCACTGCCAGGTTTGTTCCCTACACCTCACTGCAAGATTACTACCATTCACCTCACTTCACTTTCCAAAAATGTAATTATTGACTTGAACATACAAACTAATGTATAAAGCTTACAGACAATGTTATAAAGCATGTAGACTACTGGAAAAGGTATTTGGATAACAAGATACGTGTAAAAGAGGTGTTATGTTTCAGGTAACTACTCGCCTAAAGATTGGCATAACGTGGCCAACATTGGCCGCTTATATAACTACGCACCCATTGAAGTTGCTGCGTCCGGCCTCCTTGGTCCTCACACCTTTATTATAAAAGGTCAGAAAGACACATACACTGTTTCTCTCTCACTTACACAACCGAAGAGGAAACCAGTGTCTTAGTACATACTATACTCATAATGATAATAACTCTAATATTACAAGTTCTTCTCTACATTTGCATAAAATCTATTTTCAGTTTTATATATCTGGAGTGAGCCTCCCAGTGGCTCTCTGAAGCTATGTTGCTTAGATTGCTCCATACTAAAATGTCACAGAAGTTCTGTTTGGCCTACTGGGGACCAGAGCCAGAACCCGACCTCTCTCAAAGAGGTGCAAGGAGCTGGTGACACTCTGCCAACCCACCAGAAAAAACTCCAGAAAGTCAGTACAGCTTTACAGACAACTGGAGATGCATAGAAAAGGAATTATCAAAATTGCCAAACTGCATATCAGCTTTTCAGGGATGTAGTTATTTCCCAGCTCGCTGGTTTCAGGTTCCTGGTGAACTGGATGAAGTCCCAGTTGGGTATGACTAATCCAAATGGGTTCCCAATCCAAATAATAATCCAAATGTTCTACCCCACATGGGTAGAACACCTGGATAGAGCCACAGATATATGAGACATCTGAAGCTAGAACAGGATTTTTGGACTTGTAGATGCGTAAACCTCATCCTGGAAACATTCATGTTTCAACATGTAAAACAAGCTGTGAGGATGAGGGAAGGGGATGTTCCCTCTATGCTGGATTTGATATTTGCCAGGAAGGAGGAAGAGATATTTGACATTCAGTACCTCCCTCCCTTGGGTAAAAGTGACCATGTTTTTTTAGGAATAAAGTATGCAATGCGTTATAATCAAGAAGAAAATGAGGTTGAAGCAGTTGAAAAGCCTAATTTCAGGAGAGGTCATTATGAGAAACTCAAACATTTCTTTAAGGAATTTGACTGGAAGGACTTGTTAGGACATGAAGTAAATGAGATGTATGTCAAGTTTTGTGAAATATATGATATAGGCACAAAAAAATTTATACCAAAGCAGAGATGCAGAACTAGGAAACAGGATTGGTTCGACAAATTGTGAGAGGGCCAGAGACCAAAAGAAAAATTGTATGAACATGTTCGTGGGTGACGCTAAGATACTGGGGATGATAGGAAAGGCAGATGATCGTCATGCCCTTCAAATTGAGCTTGATAAAATAATTGCTTGCAGCGCCAAAAGGCAAATAGAATTCAATGTGAATAAATGCCATGTTATGGAATGTGGAATTGGAGAAAATAGACCACAAACAACTTAAAAATTTTGTGGAAAGGAATTAAAGAACGAGATGTAGGGGTAGTTTTAGATAGTAGATTGTCACCAGAAGAACATATAAAGATCATTGTACAAGGGGCATGTGTGTTGCTTTCCAACTTCAGAATTGCTTTTAATTACATTGATGGTGATATACTAAAGAAACTGTTCATGACTTTTGTGAGACCAAAATTTAAATATGCAGCAGTTGTATGGTGCCCATATCTCAAGTAGCACATAAATAAACTGGAAAAGGTTCAAAGGCATGCTACAAAATGGCTTCTGGAACTGAAAAACAAGAGTTACGAGGAGAGACTAGAGGTGTTAAACATGCCAAAACTAGAAGATAGAAGAAAAAGAGGTGATATGATCACCAATTACATAATACTAACAGGAATCAACAAAATTGACAGAGGAATTCCTGAAACCAGCAACTTCAAGAACAAGAGAACACAAATTCAAGCTAAGGAAACAAAGGTGCCAAGAAAATATTAGAAAGGTTGGAACAAGTTAAGTGAGAAGGTGGTGGAGGTCAAAACCATCAATCATTTCAAAGCGTTATATGAAAATGAGTACTGGGAGGACTGGACACCACGAGCATAGCTCTCATCCTGTAATTACTAGTTTCACGAATTTTCTTTTGGCAGTTTTGATGCTGCAGTCTCGTTTCTATCAAACAGTAGTCTGTTTTGTTTTGCTGACTTTTTGGGTGCCCTCCCTTGGTGGTGGCAGACATGAATAACTTTATATAAAGTTTGTATTTGAATAACGTTTGTAAAGAATAACAATTTACATAAAGTAAAAATTTACTATTAAGTTTTAGTCTAAGTGTTTTTTTCCCCATTACGTATTGTATGTACTACCTCTATCTTTAAATCAAACAGAATGCTTGTACTGTAACTCTGCAACTATGTATGTACTTTTCCTAAATAAATTATTATTATTATTATTATTATTATTATTATTATTATTATTATTATTATAAAAGGATTTCATAGTGCCACCACTCCTGTGCCTCTTTGAGGGGGGGCCAGGTTCTGGCACGTTGTCCCCAGTAGGCCAATAAGAACTCCATGACTGATAGCACCTCATAGTATGGCACTGTATCAGTGTACTAGCTTCAGGCAGCCATCGGGGCTCACCCAAAAATTGGCATTTCATTGCACTCAATGCTGGTTTTTAAACATACACAAAAACATGATATAATGGTTAATCAGTATATACATAAAATGCATATTAAATAAAGGAACTAACATGCAATGTGTTTTGGACACAATGTAAAATATTTCAGTTAAATTATTTATAAACTTAATTGGATAAAACCCTAATAATAATAATAATAATAATAATAATAATAAACAAATAATAAACTTACAATACATCTCTGGGAATGGATTACCATCGTAAATCGAGGCCCCATTGTATTAAAAAAATTAGCAAATGATTAAAATTTTTAAGTGATACTTAACGATGAAAGTCATAAACTATTATCTAATCTCTAGTTTTAGAACAGTACAGATACAGTATTAAATATTCACAATAACAGCAAAACACAAAACTCACTCACTGGTATTTAGAGTAAGGAAATGAGTGAAATTGTTATATGATTAATTAGATATTTCTTAATTTCACTTTTTAAATTGGTTGAGAGATGTATAGCTTTTATTCTCATTTGGGAGGTTATTCCTCAATTTAAGACCTTTGATATGCATTGCATTTCTGCTTTGGTTAACACTAGGAATATCATACAGATATTTGTGTCTTATGTGGTGCTCATGGGGTCTGTTACAGCCCACAAGGAAGCATATTGGATCAGGATTAGTATTGCAGTTGAGAGTTTTATAGATGTAGAGTGCACTAGAGTATGTGCCTGACCTTTCTGCCACCCATTTTCATTTTCACTTTTAATGTTACTGTATATAGAAATACTGTACATGTAATCACTTTCATCACGAATCAACTTGCATGTATAGCCTTAAAGTACAGTACTGGTATTGTTCTTCTAATGGCAACTTTTATTATGTGTTGCTATAGTAATTCATATTTGTTGGTGATTTCAGAATATCCCTTCGAGATTCAGATGTTTAATAAGTTCAAGGAAGATCTCCGTCGTGAATTTACTTTCACTTCAAAATACACAGCCATTGTAGGTGACTTTTCTGGTAATGTCTTTATATACTGAACCTCTCCTATCATTTGAGTGAAGAATGATATTTTCAAATGCTCTTTTATAGCATGACTTTAGGGTTTGTGCTCAGTTTCTATTAAAACATTAATACAAGGAAAATTAGAAATACTTCTCTTTTAAAATATATTTATTAATATAAAAAATATATAAATCTATCTATCACTCAATATTGCTCATGCCTTACTTTCTCTAGGAACATTCTTGAAAGAGGCTGCCAAAAAAAAAAAAAACTAAAATTTCAACATAATCTGGTCTTCATGTACTGTACCATAAGACAGTATATGCCTTATGGTACAGTAAGTAATCTTAAGTAATCTTCCACTTTCCATGAAGTAGGTTGCCTACCTTCCACTCTTGTATATACAGGTAGTATTTACTATTGATGTATCATTCATTTTTACTGTCTTTGCCTTGTACAACAGAACTGATAATATTTTTGTTAAATTATATGGCACATTTCCAACTTTCCAAGTATGCATGCATATTTAGTGCAAATATTCTGAAGGTGGGGGTGAACGAGCTCATGCTAGTTTTGAGAGAATTTGATCATTTGTTTATATAGTTGGAGGAGTTCATTAAGCTGGTTTAGAAGCATTTGTCTCTTTTGAACCCTGCCAAGGTTTGTTTCAACTTCCTGACACTTCCTCACCAGGGCTGCCTTCCCTGGTGAGGTGGCTAAATGTTACTGCTCCCTGCATCTCTGTGAGAAGGCCATAATCTAGCACTGTCCCTGGTAGGCCTAAAGAACTCCACTGTAGATGGGAACTTTCTCAGTGTTCAGCTTCAGAGAGCCATCGGGGCTCACCCAGAAATTACCGATTCATTACACTCAATGCTAGTTTTACAACCATTATTTTCTCCTGCATTTAAGTCTTCACACTTCCACTTTCCATTTGTGAATTTCTTTTAAACTTTATTGCATATAGACATGACACATGAACGTCACATCTCTGAAGACTTTCACCACTCCCAGCTTCTTTCCTTGTTTCTCTCTCTTAGTTTCCACATAGCCAGACATACTCCAAAAAAATCACAATACAGGCAGTGTGATACATCTATGAGAAAATCTTTGGAGCAGGACAGGGATTGAACCAGCATCCTGTGTATTCCCAAACACATGCCTTAACCCACAGACCATGATATGCTAAAGATTATATAGCCTGCCTCTAGACTCCTAGTGGATACGGGCAAATCCTAGGTTATACAGTCTTCAGCTATCGCAGTCCCTGGGTTAAGGCAAGTGTCTGAGAATACTCATGATGCTGGTTCGATCCCTGTCCTGCTCCAATGAATTTCTCAATGATATATCACGTTATTGTGATTTCCTTGTGTATTTGAAAGGAGTGTTTGGTAGAGAACTACATTACCTACACCAAGTGTATGTGGGTTATACGTAAAACTTGGATTGGCTACCAGCTCGGTGTTTCCAGACTCCTATTGCATTCAAGCAGATCCCATTGTTGACGTTTTAGATTCAGCTATTCGGAACAAAAAGTTCCAAGTAGCACGGGCTAAGGTGAGCCCATAGTGAACTTATCTGGCACAGGAGCGGGGCTGTGGATTTTGGATGGCACACCCCACAAGTTATATCATCTTTAGCTTATTATCGTCTATGGGCTAAGGAATGTGGCTGGGAATAACCAGAACACTGGTTTGATCCCCATCCTGCTCCAATGATTTTCTCATAGCCATACATATTGCCTTTGTCTCCTGTGAATGCTAGATCTGAAACTCCTTTGTGTTTAGTAGGTAGAAAATAGTGATACTGGGTTTATAGCCAATCTCTCTTTTTATTTCAGAGACTGGGGCTATTTGTCATATTCCTATGTCTTGAAATAGAAATATATTAAGGATGTTAATTTACATGTTAAATTTTTGGTCATATATACAGTATATTGAACTGTGCTCAGATATGTGGGAAGTAAAAATTTGATTATAATAAATATAATAGTATACATACAGCAGATATATTTATTTCACTTGTAACAAATCTAATCTAACCTGAGCAAACTTTGCTTATCAAAGAGTGGGCAAAGCAAGAGCCAAATTAGAGTTTAAATACAAGCTGTATTTGTAATAAAATAGACAAATCACTTTATAATAATAAATATTTAAAATGGCACTTCTGTATACAGTACTCCAAAGAATCTCTTCAGGTACAATCATTCCTGCTGAACATCACAGAAGAGAGGAAAGCAAGAAAGGAGCTGAATCCAGTCTTTATTGGGTTTCATATTAGACGAACAGATTATATTAAACATGCTCAGGTTAGTCATCAGCTGGCTTTTTCTGGGGGAGCCCCTTTGGCTCCCAGGAGCTATCTGGGCTGATATGAATGTATTAGACTCTGACATCAGTCAAGCGAATGGAGTTCTTATGTCTAATTCCCCAGACTAATACAGTATAGCATATATCAATCCAATAGCTCCAAGGAGCCTCTGGAGTTCACCCAGAAAATGGTGTTTCATTACATTCAATGCTGATTTTATATACCCTCTACTGTATGCAGATTATAGAGTTCTTTAAGTAGAAAATGACCAAGATTGAGATTTGTTATGGAAAAACTTAAAAGTAAATGAGTAAATGTGGTCTAATGTACAGTAATGGTTACAGGAAGAAAAGGAAATTCTTTGTGAAATGCTAGAATTTTGTGGAAAATTTGCTAGAAGTGGTTGATTAGTTCAAATATGTTCGATGTATGAGTGATAAAAAGAGGAATTTGTGCAGTCAAAATTTAGAACAGGATGAGTGAGGGAAGAAACTGGTGGGTATAATGAAAGCCCTTGATAAAAAAATAAGATAGGCATAGATGCCTTTAGAGGGCTATATTAAGGCATACTAATGCTGACCCTTATGTACGGTTGCAAGATGATGCTGAGGTACTGATATGAAAAACCAAGACGTATAGTAGTGGAAATGACAATTATGTAAAGCATGTGTAGTTTTAGGAGAATACTCTAGATAGAATAACAAATGAAAATATCATGGAGAGACGTGGAATACAAAACATGTGACAATCGGAGATGATAATCTGGTGGAGAGTGTGTATATGAGGGTAGAAGGTGCAGAAAGCCATGGGTAGATATGGTGAGTGTGTGATGGAGTGAGAGTTGAATTTGAAAAATGCACAGAACATCGTAAGGCACAAGGCTGGGTGGAAGCAGTTTACAAGGATGGAGTGAATGTATGGAACAGTATAAAATAATTCACAAAGATTACTGTAACCTGGTCTTATGAAGCAGTGTTGTGTTGCTGGGGATTACTGCTGTAATGAGATGTTTGTTTAGCCATGATGCCATATAGTCCAGTACTGTAGTGTGAGTTATCAAGAATGGGTGGGGATATTTTTATTTTTATAATATCTGTAACCTTATAACTCCATTATTCACCTTTTTTCTTTAGGTTGATTCTATGAAACTCCTCTCTATGAAAGTGAGAAATTGGGGTAATGATGGATGAATGATTTAATATACAATGTGAAAATTCTGTATCAACATAAACTGATACAGAACAAAATAAGCTAAACAAATATAAATATTTCAAGATGAGAAAAGGCTTCATAACATGCTTGAAGTAGACTAATGTGTATTAATTACAGAATCAGTTTGGTGCCTCCCTCCCAGACCAAGTTTACTTTGACCGAGCCATGCAGTATTATCGTAACAAGTTCCCAGGCAAGGCAGTGTTTATTGTAGCTTCTGATGACATGGTTTTCATCAAATCCAAATTAGAGAAATATAAGGATGTCATTTTTTCCCCAGGTATGTTGAAATATGAATTTAGCATTCAGAAAATTTACATTAGATTGTTTTTTCATAGTTCCCTGTATTATGGCTGTGAAAATTTGAAGTCTTTAAGATCCTAAATTGTAGCACTTACACCACTTCTAATATCATGTTTGCAGGTACCTCACATATAATGGATTTGGCAATACTTACTTCATGCAACCACAGCATTGTCACCATGGGAAGTTTTGGTTTCTGGTCAGCCTACCTCACTGGTGGAGAGGTTGTCTACCCTGATATAGACTTTAAAAAGGAGTACAGGTAATGGCAAGCAGGTAAATTAAAAGGTAAATTGAAATTCAGGTAAATTGGCTAATTAGCTTTCCAAAAATGCAAGTTCTATAGTAGATATTTAAATATTTTAAAAAGATTTACTTATGGGTCTGACATCAAAGTGGGCAATATAACTCATTGCCTGACACTCTCCTGATGTAACAGTATAACCCAAATACCTGTCCTGACTATTTTCAGAGCTAAAATGCCTTGGATGCTCCCTTAACCCTGTACTGTGCTCATCAAAATACAGTATCTCATTTGACTGGTGGTGCACTCACTGAGAAAACTCATTTGTGGGTATAGGGAATGGTTCAAAACTCACATGGGTACATGGGGTACATCCTGTTTTTTTTAGGGCTCCAGTAAACAGATGCCTTCTTGAAAAAAAATTGTCTGCATCCCTCCTGGCTGTGAGAGCTGAAAGAGCGTACTGTTCATAGTACTCAGTACTATGTACTGCGAGAGCGGCCAAGAGTGGCACATGCACCAGGAGCTCACTGCACTCCTGTGCATCTTGGGGCTACAGCACCACTTAATAATGATGAATATAATAAGCAAATGCGAATATTTATTTTATTTATTTATTTTATTTTTTTATTTTATTTATATTTATTTATATACAAGAAGTACATTGGGTTGCAAGAGTACATTCTTGCAGAACCACTAACACGCATAGCGTTTTAGGCATTTTTTTTCCCTAATAGTGTCATAGATGATCCTGACTGTGATAGACAATGTACAAGGTTCAGATATCAGTGAACCCAGTGCACTTAAAAAAGCAAGGTAACATCAATAAAAATAAGAATAAAATAAAATATGTTCATTGTGTGTACTTAGGGACCCGGTAGTACAGTCGGGTTTGTTATTGATGCACAATCGAGAATTCCAGGTTCGAATCCCGGGTGGGACAGAATTGGTTGGGCATATTTCCTTTCACCTAATGCCTCTGTTCACCTAGCAGCAAGTAGGTACTCAGGAGTTAGTCAGCTTGTGGGTTTGCATCCTGGGTGGGTTCAGTAATTCAACCCTGGGTGGAGGGGGGGGGAACCTTGATAAAAGCCTAACGTGTATGAATACACTCTGGCTTCCTGTCCCCTGACACAGTGAATTATTATTATTATTAATTATTATAACTTTGTAATTATCCAAGTGTAATTACCTAAGGGTGAGAGGTACAGGATTGTGCAGGATGTGTGGTGCTAGGCTGACCTTGGATCATGGTTATCACTCCCACCAGGCCTGCTTAGTGGTTCCAAACACTGCATAAACATATAGACCTATTTACATGATGTGTGTATATAGTGTAATACTGTAACAGCAAAAACTGTGCATTTCATTGCTCAAAGAATATAATATTTGAACTCATATTAGGGACAAAAATATATCGAAGTGTGTACCTATATTCTACATGATCTATGATATAATTAATATTGACAGGCTAGTGCATCATTACACTTGATAAAATCATGGTAAAGCATTTACAATATGAAGAAAATACTATATATATTCAATGTGTGCCATTACAACCTCATGTAAACTATGCGTGACTAAGGCAAACTCTGATAACTGGTTATAAGATTATTACAGCTACCAGAAACACTTAGTGGATCATAGTGGGATATGAAAATGTAGATATATATATATATAATATATATAATATATATATATATATATATATATATATATATATATATATATATATATATATATATATATATATATATATATATATATATATATTTCCCTTTTGGTATAAAAATTTGTGAGGGTACCACCTCTGGTGCCAATGTGAGGACCCATAGCCCTGGAGAAGAAAATAAAAAGTATTCAGAGGAGACCTTGTGGTTTCTCACTGAACACTAATATTATCTTCTCCTACCACCCCCATTCTTTTGTATGTACACATATATATTTGCTTTATATATATATATATATATATATATATATATATATATATATATATATATATATATATATATATATATATATATATATATATATATATATATATATATATATATATATATATATATATATATATATATATATATATATATATATATATATTATATAATACAATACAATACAGTACAATACAGTATAATAATGGCAAAAAACACTGTTATATTGTTTTAGGAATATAATATGTATGCACACTATATTTTTGAACCTAGTGATATTTTACAAATTTGATTATATAAATTTCTCATATAAAAACATTCAGAGACATAGAAATACGTAAAATTATCTTTGCGGGGACTTTTGCCCCACGGCTCCTGCCAGTGGGTGACGACTCACTCAATGCCCATCAATTGCTAAACTTCCTCGTTCCATCACGGCCAACATAAGTAATGTACTGTACAATATATTTTTTTTAATTTACGGTGTTCAGGGAATGCATTTTAACAATATTAGAAAGAAGAAACGTTTGAGGGAAATCATTTTTTTAGGTGCACCAGGGGTTGTCACAAGTAACAGATGTGCAGTACAGTGGTTAAGCCAGGACAGTCTCTATGCTAGGCTTTTCTTGACCTTGTAGTCAAGTCTGATAAGAATCTTTGTCAATTTTATTATCAGGGATAAAGGTGTACATAGGAAATGATGGAGAGTTAACTTAAGCCATCATAAAGGGACCACCCTGCTATAACATACAGCAGACTGAAATTTCCTGTTAAGACACATTAACCTGTCTTGATCAGTCTCTCCAGTGTCTGTGGCTTCCTGAAGCTATCTCACTGAGATGGCTTCCCACTACTGGGTCACATCAGTCACAGGAGTCCTGTTTGACCTACCAGGAACCAAAGCCAGAATTGAATGTAATGAAATGCCTCTTTCTGGAGGAGCCCCAGTGGCTCCCTTATACCCCCCTCCCTCCAGGTTCGTCACTTCATCAGTTCACCGTAGGTTGTTCATCAGCTCCAGAACTTATGTAGGGAGTCAATTGAGGGGATGTGGTGTTAAAGAAATAACACCACACGATACCAGAAGGCATGGTAGAATGTGCAAAATAGCCCTTGAAAACCAAGTTGCAAATAGGCACACTGAGAGAGAACTCGACCTACTCGATCAGAGTCAGATTCTGGCTCTAGTCCCCAGTAGGCCAAACAAAACTTCTGTGATTGATTTGACCTTTTAATATGGAACAATCTCAGCAAGGTAGTTACAGGGAGTCGCCGGAATCCTACCCCAGAAAATATTTAAATTATTTAGACCCCTTATCCTTTTTAAATCTGTATTCCCTAGAGTGCAGGTGGGAGAGATACATAATAATTTACACGTAGATTAGAGGGGTTTGTTCCAAATTTTCACACAAAAATAACTTCACATGAGACCAGGAGACATTGCAGGAAGTGGAAAATAGCTCTGTTGAAAAGCAGAGGTGCAGTTGGTAAGCCGAGAGAGAATTCCATCAACATCAAGGGCTGAAAACTTTTCAACACACTCCATCTACACATAAAGGGGCATCACTAGCTGATGTCTTTTGGTGTTCAGGAGAGAATTTTATATACACCAAGGTAAGTGTACCTAATCATCCAGGCTGTGATTCATACATCAGGCTACAAACAGCTGCATCCAACATCCTGGTTGACCAGACCACCAACCAGGAGGTCTTGTCAGAGACTGGGCCATGGGAACATTGATCCTTGGAACCAATGCAATGTAACTGCAAGGTAAGATAACCACAGATAGCTCATGGAATCACTGAAGGGACCTATCAGAAAGAAACAGTTTATTATATAACATAATGGATTTTTTTAGTCTGTTATGCAATGGCTTGGTGTGGAGTTTTGCATTTCTTTCTGGAGCCTTACTGTTCCCAGTGTTGGCTGGTCAGGGGTTTTGCTTTTTTCCCTGTTCTTTTGAGGAGCTTTGGCTCCAAATTTGGCAAAACTTTTACCAGTTTGCTTAAGGCCTCTCAGTTATTTGTGGCATTCAGGTACTGTACCCTGGGGGCCTGACAGCTGAGTGGACAGCGCTCGAGATTCGTAGTCCTGAGGTTCCGGGTTCAATGCCCGGTGGAGGCGGAAACAAATGGGCAGTTTCTTTCACCCTGATGCCCAGTTTACCTAGCAGTAAATAGGTACCTGGGAGTTATATAGCTGCTACAAGCTGCTTCCTAGGGGTGTGTAACAAAAAGGAGGCCTGCCGGGGACCGGGCCGCAGGGACGCTAAACCCTGAAATCGTCTCAAGATAACCTGTCCGCTCCACCTTTGGCATTACAGTACCTTGGTATTCTTTGGTAGGCATCCTACTTGGTCTTCAGTAGCTTCAATGATTCTTTCCCTATGAGGAATTGTCTGGTGGCATCCATTCTGGAATGATCCTGTCCATTCACTTTCTTTGCATGAGGGTTCTACTGTTGTTTTCTATCCAGGATTAGTCAGGTTTCCCATTTGAGGTTTCTCTATCTTTAGCTGTAGATGAGAGTTAAGTCAGAAACATTGTCTGCAAAGGCTTTTTGGGCACAAAGATTCTTATACAGATTAGATCAGTCATGAGATCCTAGGAAAGTGATATTGTCCTGGTTATCCACTAGCTTCTAACTCAAAAGAACATCCAATAAGCCAATTAAAAATGTTGTATTTCACTCTGCTCAATACGCATTTTTTTAAATTCTGATATTATACTTTATCATTTATTGGGAAAAATGTTTTAATAGCCAATATCCAATAACCCTCTTACAGGTTTTCCAGGCAAACTTATGAGAAGATAGGGATGAAATCCTTCACGCCTCTACCAGCTAACTAATGTCTGCACTGCATGACACCCCTTCCAGCTGCTAACAACTACAATAGTCTTTCTCTGTAGTTCTCTCAACTCTACTCATTTGTGCTATTCAACTAACTTGTTTTGTGTAACCCTGCAATTAACCCAAAAACTTACTGGCATGAAACAAGGATGGGCTTTTTGGCATGAAACATTATAACTAGTACACTCATCTGAAAGTCAGAACACATTGTAAGGGTGTCAGGCAGACTTCTAAATTGGATGATAATTTTTTTAATGGACAGATAAATGTGACCAATGATCAGAGCTGACTGAAGAAATGTCACAAGCATGCTACCTCAAGGTACAGTTCTTGCACCAGTAATATTCATTTTCTATATAAATAATCAACCAAAGGGAATACAAAATTATATGAATATGTTTACAGATGTTGCAAAATTGCTAGGAAGAGTCAGGGACTTTGATGACTATTGCCTTCCAAAATAACCTAAACAAAATGAGTGAGTAGAGCAACATACAGCAGGTGGAATTCAATGTAAATAAATATGTCACATAAAGGAATATGAAATAGGGAAAAACAGATCACAACTGAAATTACGTGACCAAATATTAAACACTTCTAACAAGGAAAGAGATCTAGGAGTGATTCTGGATTCTAAACTGTCACAAGATGACCACATAAAGGGCAGTGCACGAGGAACCTACACTATGGTAGCAAATTTTAGAACTGCATATAAATATATTGACAGAAATATTATTTTGTGAGACCAAACTTTGAAAATATAGCAGTGGTGTGGTGCCCATATCTCAAGTAGCATATAAACAAACTAGAAAGGGTACAAAGACAGGCTACTAAATGGCTCCTGGAACTAAAAAAATATGAGCTACAAAGAGAGAATGGAGACATTAAACATTCCAAGGCTAGAAGATATGAAGAAAAGAAGCGATATCACTATGTACAAAATACTGTAGTAACAAAATTGACAAGGAGTAATTTTTGAAACCTGCAACTTCATGAACATGAGGCCATAGATTCAAGCTAAGGAAACAAAGGAGTCAAAAAATATAAACAAGTTCTCTTTTTGCAGAGTGGTAGGTGGTTGAAACAACTCACGTGAGAAGGTGATGGATACCAAAACCAAAGGTAGTTTTATGATAGAGTGCAGTACTGGGAAATGAGGACACTATGAGCATAGCTCTCACCCTCTAACCACTTAGGTAATTACAAACAAGAAGGATGGGCTTACTGGCATGAAACACTAAAACTAACACACTAAGAAGCAGGATGGGTTTGTGTAAGTGATGCTAAAATGTAACCTTTTCTGGCGCCCCTTCAGCTCCATGGAGCTATCTGGGCTGATAGGAATGTATATGACCCTGGCATCTGTCAAGCGAATGGAGTTCTAGGCATACTGGGGACCACGAGCCAGAACCTAGCTCTCCCTCACAAAAGGCACCAGGAGCAATGACCTATAGAAACCCCCATGTAGTTGGATGCATTCTACGTCTGTCATCGACTGGGTCAGGCACCCAGAAAGGTAGGCGCTCCAAAACAACTCTTATCTGGTTAAAATATTGCTACTGAAAGCCGAACTGTTGGACAGAACTCACCCAAACGAAAACAAGGAAACGAGCATGATGTCGCAACCATTACCGCTGTCTGCACAGCTCCCCTCCCTTCCCAGGAGGGGGAAGGGGGAGCCCCAGACCTCCTGTGCTGGCTCTCCACCTCTAGTTCTGTGGCTAATGTGAGACCTGGCGGTCATGCTACTCTCTGTCCAGACTTGTTCCAGCGCTGTGCTTTGTGGTGTGGTCCTGTCCATCATGGTGTGTGAGCCAGGAGTAATTTCTCAGGTACTTGAAATGCAAGAGCCTAGGATTACCTTCCCGAGGTGCTCTGTAAGTACTGCCCTTGAGATTATCTTCCACAAGTCCCTTGGGGTCTGCCTCCGTGGAATCTTTTGCTGCTCGGTGGTTGCCCGCCCTTGGAGTCAGCTGGGGTGTTTCATGCGCCACTCTTTGCCTCTGGGTAGGAGGTAGTTTCATCACTGGTAGGGGCACAAGGTATTGTGCAGGTTTTTTTTCACCATAATACAGCGGCCGGCTCTGTTCTGCCTTGGTCATTGTGCTCTTTGCAGAGTTTTTCTTTTTTATTTGTTTTTCCTGCCTGGTGGGGGGTCTGATCCTTGGTGTTGATACCTCATATATATTGGGGGTCCTCCACTAGGTCCCCGTGAGTGTACATGTCCTGGGGGTTCAGCTTTTAGCAGTTTGGTAGTTTTGAGCACCAGCTAGCAGTACCTTGCCTGGGCTTCCCTTAGCAGGGCATCTAAGGGCCTTAGAAACCCCTGCTGAAACTCAGTGGTCCGATGAATGCGTCTCCTGGGTCCCATCTTGCCTTGTGCGAGTTTGAAGATTGCTCTGTTCCCTTGTCTGTGGGTGACTCTCGCCTGTTCTGCTTCCGTCATGCTGCCTGTTGGGTCGGTGACACCTTCGACCCGGAGTCCTGTGAGTGGTGTTCCTTGCATGTACTCTGCTTCACCCAATCTGCTGTTCTTGATATTCAGGTGCAGGCAGCTTTGGTGTTGCATGCCTGTTATAAGTTGTTGCAGCGTGCTAAGTTGGTTACTCACCCTGATGCCTTGAGACTGCCCCATTTTGGTTATAGGGATTCAAACTCTGGGGTGTTAGTCACTTCAACTTTGGTTTCGTCTGTGCCCCCGGGTCTTTCCCCTGCTGTTGTTCGTCCTGTTCCTCTGCCCCTGCTCCCGGCTCTGAAGTGTTTAAGGGTTTCAGAGTCATGGCAGGGTTTAGTTGGTGGTGAGATTCGGGTGTGTAGCGGAGGCATTCGAGCCTGTTCCTCCAGCCGGTGCTTCTGAGTCTGACCAGTGGGCCCCCTTCATTACAGCTTTTCCGGCGGCTTCTGCCTTTGCTTTTTAGGCAGAGGGTTAGGAGGACGGCTTGGGTCCGGGTCCTGATGTGGGGGTTCCCAGGGTGGGGGAGGGGCTGACTTGAAGCCTTGGGCCCCATTTGACCCCACTTGGGTTTTCATACCCTCTGAGCGAGGCTTGTTGCTGCAGGGAGTGGGTTTTCTTATACTCCCCCCCCCCCTCCTCGTACGAGTTTGATATGGTGTCAACCCCTCCCCGGGTTCGGTTCCGGGTTCCCTTGGGTACTTCAGTCCCTTCATTCTGGAGGTTTTTGGCCTCCCCCATCCTGTCTCATGAGTTGCAGGAGGCCATTGCAGTTTACTTCCTGCGCAACCCATATTAGGCATCGATAATGGATCCTGCCTCTTTTGAGTTCGGTTCTTCCTTTCCTCACTGGGTTCGTTATGAGATTCCGGAGTCGTCCTGGTTGGCAGATTGTCCTGTTTTTTCGTTGGAGGCGTGGCATATGTTCTGTCGGTCTCGCATGCTTGAGTGACGAGAATCCCTTATGGTGGTTCAGGTTTACCTGGGGAGCGAGTTTGAGCGCCTCAGTGTGTGTTTGTTCGCCCTTGCCCTTCCTTGGGATGTCAGCCTGGTACAGCTTCACGTGCAGGTTCCCTCCCTTTCGGTTGTCCTAGTTGATGAGGACTTGCGTGCCCATGACCATTTGGTTTCATTCTTGCATTTTTTTCCCTTCTTGAGCTGTATTCTGACTGGCTTGTGTAGGACATGGAGGCGCTTGGAGCCGATCCTGGGTCTGGTGCGCTGGTCTCAGCGGTGTGGGTGTTGGCTGCGCTGTTAAAGCTGTTTGCACCGATCCTATGGGAGGCGGTGTCTCTGTTCTTTCCTTCTCGTCTTGCGTGTTTGCAGGCGGTGCTCGCTCAATCCTTGGAATCCGCTTGGGCCCCTGGCTCTTAGGTTTTCTACGCCTTTTTGTCCTTTGATGTTTGCAGAGTCTGTGGTGGTGCAGTATCTGTAAGCGACTTCTTCTAGTTGTTGTCCCATGTTGGACTTGTTAGTTCTCCGTGCCCGCGGGAGTCTTCCCAAAAGGGTTGTGCCAGGGCTTTGGGTTCTCCCATTGTGGTAGGCCAGTGGTACCAGTTTCGGAGCCGGCACAGCCTTTGGAACCGACGACAACTGATCTGCGCGGTGATCACTCTGCTCGTAAGTTGACTTCACGTAAGGGGCGTCGACCCTTTCGCGGTTCATCCAATTGACGGGGGCGATGGGGGGAAGGCTCACGCTGTTCGCCCATTCCCATGTTCTGGTTTTTCAGGGTTCAGTGCCTTGGCGCCAACCCGAGCCCTTGCTTGATGTGTTCACGGATACATCGTCTCTTGGCTGGGGCTTTGTGACCAGTGCTCACCAGGCCAGCCAGGGGCAGTGGGGTTCCTTCCATTGGGCCCACATCACGGTGCGGGAGTTCGCAGCCTCCCACACCTCCCAAACAGGGAACCCTAATTCCCTGTTCCAGGGCTCGGGTCGTCCGCAGAGTTATTAAGTCTAGCCAACCTGCGGTCTATCCTTGTGCCCATGACCTTCGGAAGTTTGCTGCTTTGGCTGACTTTTTGGCAACATGTCTTGGGCTGATATTTGGGCGCAGGGATTTTGGAAGTTGAACAGAGTTCTGGCTGCCCATTGTTTGATGAACATTTCTTGTCCTGGGGCATTCATGTGTTGCTTTGGGTTGCAGGTTGCAGCAGTTTTGGCTGCGAAGTCGTTGTCTCGACTTCGAGTTGAGGAGCGAGTGGCAGCTCCCTCCCTCCCTAAGTCCCTCTTTTCCTTATCTTTAGTTAGGTAGGTTTCAGAGAGCCAAAGGGACTCCCCACAGAAAACCTGCGTTGAATGTAATGAAACACCATTTTCTGAGCGAGCCCGGGATGCTCTCTGGTACCCTCCTTCCCTCACTCCGGTTAGCAGTTTTCGCTTTGTTTTGATGCCTAACCTCTGAACTAGGATTGCTGGGTAGCTGGCACGGAGGGTCCAGGGCTCACCCCTCACCCATCCCCGATGGGAAGGGGGGCGCTACGCGGACTAGCGCCACCGCGGCGGTGTGTGACGTTTGCTGTTTGTTTCCTTTGGAATTGGGGGAGTTCTGCCTCTATGTTTGGCATACATTTGTAATTTTCTTACCATGTGGGGTCTGTTTTGTTATGCCTATCTTTCTGGATTCCTAACCCCAGTCAATGGCAGATTAGGAAAGCCCCCAACCACAGGGGGGTTTTCCAGGGGCTATTGCTCCCTATGCCTCTCCGAGGAGGCCAGGTTCTGGCTTGGGCTCCCCAGTAGGCTGAACTCCATTGACTATTGCCCTAGTATTGCATAGTATTTCGATAGCTCCAGGGAGCCTCCAGGGCTCACCCAGAAAATGACATTTAATTACATTCAATGCTGGGTTTTTTCTGCAACATACTACAATTTAATTTTAATTAAGAAAACTCGCCAAATAAATTATTGTTTGTAGATGTTTTTTTATAATATAAAAATATAATTTGTCTTTTCATAATCTATTCTGTATGAATGCACTTATGTTGATCCAGGTCATGTTTCTGGGATGAGCTGAAGGAGCAATGCTGGCAAAATACATTTTGTTCAGCCATGTGAGATTGAGCGTGTGTGTCAGGGTTTCCTGTGTGTGTTAATTGATTGTTGTGCTGATAACTGATAATTCATTGTTGTGCTTGCGAACATGAAGCTTCAGGTTGTGGCTCTGTGTAAACTTTTGGCTACAGTGAGGACAAGAAAATGGCTTCTCTCCTGTGTGAGTTCTCAAATGCCTATTGAAGTCGTATCTCCTGAATGTGCTGTATGAACAGTATGGGCAGTAAAAACTCTTGTAGCCAGCCATGTTGATACCTCCATCCTCCTCATTGCTGCTGTTGAGCAATACCTGCAACAGTTATAGTGTTGAGAATCTACTTTTTAACATATCATTACTGAACATGCAAGTACTGTATGTGTACTTAATAAACTTTTAAAACACAAAAGCAGACTTTTCTCTTTCATAACTATTAGTACTTTTATAGTTTTTGAAATACAATATGTATTAAATAGCATGTTCATTATTTCTTAAGGAATTGTATTACCAACCTCTACCCAAAAAGGTAAATTTATATGTCATAGTTATGTAGTAGGTCCTTAATCTGAATAAGGAATTTGTTTAAAAAACTTCATGCAGTGAGGATTTGTGTACAGCATACATTACATAAATTATTTTTACCCTTTTTCCCACTTTAATAGGGTATAGGGAGGCATCAGCTCTGAGAGAGAAAAAGGTGAGTAATATAATAGGAGTAGATTATAATATTGTAAAAAAACATTAAGAATATAATTATATTCAACATATAGCATCATGGATAAACAAGCACCACCAAACTCCAGCAGTTGTCCACAACAGCAACCTAATGCTTTATAAGATCAGGTGTGCACCGCTTGTGAAGTCATATTTATTTCATACAAATACATTTACCACAACAGGTATACAGGTACTCTTTACAAATCACTTGTATCCTAGGCATGGTGAGATGTATGATTAAGTCTCCTTACACCCATTGCCTCTTTTCACCTAGCAGTGATTAGTAACCTGGGTGTTAGTCGACTGTTGTGGGTGGTATCATGGGGAATGGTCAAATGCTGCATATATCTCAGGTATACCTGAATTTCCCACAAACGCCACAAGGCACAACACGAGGACAAATAGACAAAAGGCTAACACATGAAATATGCCGCAAGGTAAAGAAACTACAGCCGTAAGGCCACTGCAAAGAGTGAACCGGAAGGTCATAGAGTGGGTTTATGCCCCAACAAGTCAACTACTACCAGCTAAGTTCTTTACCATAAACCTGTTATCCATACTCTACCTGCTTCCTCACACACTCACTATCTTCATCCAGCTTCCCACCCACTCTTTTTCATTAGTCTACCATCATCCATATATTAAATGTGCCCAGTCCATCTCGGCACACTCTTCTCAATCTTGTGGTTTAATGACTTTTTACACATTATATCTCTCTGGTATTTTAAGTCTGTATCTATTTATTCTCCAAACACCTCACGTGATTCTCAGAACTTTCATTTATACTGCTATAACTCTCTTCTTGAATGTTCATACAACACCATTGTCTGTTAACTTCACACAAGACTTGTAAATTCTTGTCTACATAGTGAAGTCCATGTAGACTTCTGATTGCATCTATTCCTGTTTTGAGTTTCTGTACCAAAGCTTTCATTGCACGAGCCATTTTCCTTCCGTGGCTGTCTCAACTCTCAGCTTTGATTACTTACTTATGCTTACTTTGATACTTCCACCTCTTTCTACCAATAACATATTCCAGATATTTAACCCCTGCACTTTAAATACCACCATAAGACCATTGACAGAAGGTTTGCCAAAGACCATATGGTACTTGTTGGTATATCTTAAGATTCATAATATGCACTCGGTAACCTGGGTAGTACTGTATATGGAAGCCCGAGGCCTCTGTTGAGTATTTGCCATCTTGAAACAAAATTTCGAGCATTTCCCATGGGGGCAGCTAGGCTGAATTTCAAGTGAACTAACATGGATAACGAAGGTTCCTCCATCTCCCAGTCAATGATGAGTCTCATAGTTTAAAAATCACTCGTGAAGGATGAAATACTTGACACAATGTATCGAGAAAATCCTAATATTGACCAAACCATACACTAGTAATGGAAGAGACGACAATGTTTCGGTCCATCCTGGACCATTATCATGTCGACAGAGTTGATAATTGCCTTGATAATGGTCCAGGATGGACCGAAACGTCCTCGTCTCTTAAATTTTTAGTGTGTGGTTTGATCAACATTTTTCAGTCACGTTATTATGACTCATCATCTGCAAGACTCTAATACATATATGCAGAAAAACCACATGTGAAAAATAGAGAGTGCTTAATGCATTTTTGGCTAATTCACCTTTATCAGAGCAAAATAGAATGAAGAATAGAACCTTCATTATATTTTGCTGTGATGAAGGCGAATTAGCCGAAAACGCATTAAGCATTCTCTATTTATCACACGTGGTTTTTCCGCATACTTAGATCAGTGTTTTAGTGATCATTGTTGCACTATTTGCATCATATATATATATATATATATATATATATATGTCGTACCTAGTAGCCAGAATGCACTTCTTGGCCTACTATGCAAGGCCCGATTTGCCTAATAAGTTAAGTTTTCCTGAATTTATATATTTTTTCAATTTTTTTTATTATGAAATGATGAAGCTACCCATTTCATTATGTATGAGGTAAATTTTTTTTTATTGGAGTTAAAATTAACGTAGAAATCTGACCGAACCTAACCAACCCTACCTAACCTAACCTATCTTTATAGGTTAGGTTAGGTTAGGTAGCCGAAAAAGTTAGGTTAGGTTAGGTAGTCGAAAAACAATTAATTCATGAAAACTTGGCTTATTAGGCAAATCAGGCCTTGCATAGTAGGCTGAGAAGTGCGTTCTGGCTACTAGGTACGACATATATATATATATAATGTTGTACCTAGTAGCCAGAACGCAGTACTCGGCCTACTATGCAAGGTCCAATTTGCCTAATAAGCCAAGTTTTCCTGAATTTATATATTTTTCTTACGAAATGATAAAGCTACCTATTTCATTATGTATGAGTTCACATTATTTAATTTGAGATAAAACTAACGTAGATATATGACCGAACCTAACCTAACCTCTCTTAACATAAACTAACATAATCAAGTCAATAATTGATGTGCCTAGTATGATGTATTAATAATATTTCAAATAAACCAATTTGAAACAATTTATTGAAAATAAAGAAAATCACTCGGCCTACTAGGCAAATCAGGCCTTGCATAGTAGGCCAAGAAGTGCATTCTGGCTACTAGGTACGACATATATATGGTTCCCGGTCACGCAGGCCGACCTGCCTCAGTTTCCTAGAGCTGCCCGCTTAGTGATGATCACGCCTATAAGAAATTCCGTTTTTGTGGTGATTTTTTGCTTTTGAACATAAAACTGATTATTATATATCAGGCAATGGGTTCCAAGAAAGTCAGTGGTAAGGTTCAACCTAAGAAAATAGTTGTGAGTAGAGGCAGTAGAGGATGTACCTTCCTCATTAGGAAAATGTGTGAAGTATGGGAAGAACTGCAAAGTTTTGTTGAAAAAACTCACCCAGATAAAGCTGTAGCAGGCCATTGCATTGACCTTTAAACGACAATGTGATGTCTTACTACAGACAAGTGTTAAAATGTAGGAAAAAAAAGTGTCTTTAGACAGATTCTTAGTAAGAAAAGCTAGCAGTGAGCCACAAGCAGGTCCTAGTGGTATGCAGGCAAAATATGCCAGAGAGTGTATCCCAGAAAAGTCATCACTGCCTGATGTTATACCTGTAATGGAATGGGACTCAAACAGTAACACCTCTCCTCCTCCCTCCTCCACACGCCATCAAGAGTCCTCCATAAAGGTAAGATTAACATATGTAGTGTATTGTAGTTAGAGAAAAAAATTGTATTCAGTATAAAATTTATTTGCAAGTTAATATTTTAGAGGGTGGGGAACAGATTAATTCAATTCCCTTTATTTCTTATGGGAAAAATCGCTTCGACTTACAATATTTTGACTTACGATACGTCTCTGGGAACGTATTGCCATTGTAAATCGAGGGCCCACTGTATATGTATGTATGTATGTGTGTGTGTGTATATTATATATATATATATTTTTATGTGGATATATATATATATATATATATATATATATATATATATATATATATATATATATATATATATATATATATATATATATATATATATATATATATATATATATATATATATATATATATATATATATATATATATATATATATATATATCCACATAAAAATATATATATATATACCAGATGGAATCACACTGCACCATTGGAAAAATGGCAGACAATTGGCGTGGGACTATACTTGCATATCCACCCTGGCAGCCACATACATCACCCTCTCTCTTGGCCAAACATGAGCTGCGGCGACACACACAGAAGAGACAAGTCAACCAAGTACAGTACAGGGAAATTGATCACTGGTACAACTTCATTCCAATAGGATCTGAGACCCTTGGTCCATGGGGAGCGAGTGCAAGGAGGTTTCTTCAGGATTTTGATTCCAG